GGACATGATTGAGCTAGAGAGAGAGAGAGAGAGAGAGAGAGAGAGAGAGAGAGAGAGAGAGAGAGAGAGAAAGGGGGGGGGGCGAGAGAGAGCGAAAGAGAGATCATAAGAGAATAAGAGAAGATCAGTGCAAGCTGCAAAACGCCACAACGATTACGTCGTCATAGGTGAATGAAATGAAACAAAAACTCAAAAAATAGGGCTTGATAAGTGCTCTTTGATCATTTGAATCTTCAAAGTGTTCGAAAACTAACAGGATAATATATGAGGAACACATTCTGTTTTTTTTTGTTAGAGAATAAAGGTACCTAATGTGTCAGTGAGCAGTCACATATAGTATATAAATGTAAACTGGGATGTACTTGAATATCATTTATTTGTATTTTCTATGTACACATGTACTACCATAGTCTCTACATTCTATTCATATATTCGTTTTTGATACATAATTTGTATTTACTTAACAATACAAAAGAACATGAGAGTTTAGGTTTTTTACACCATTTTATCCTATTGATTGCTCAGTTACATCAAATTTCGGCTTAAACATTCTTCCAACTATGCAATTCCGTCTTTCATAAATTAGTCTTTCCTAAAAAAGAGTACTCGGAACAAATTAATTGTCAATACAATGCCAGTAATCGTTTGAACTTTAAAACGATGGAAACGCTACTGGACCAGAGCACTTACTCAAATACTCACTAACATGCAACCACTTCATGGAAATTTAAAAAAATGAAAAGAAATGCAAATTGAATTGAACGTTCCCGTCTTAAAAATCCTTCGTCTGTTCTTTTTCCTATCAGAGAAGATTATATGAATAGTAATTCTTTTTGATCCGGGAATGTTCCGCGACAAACTCTCACATTGGCTCTCGAAAATGTTTCAAAAAAAGCTGAAGATGACGTTCGTCTCGGTACTCAAATGCCTCCCTTCTTCGAGCAGAAAAAAAACCAAAAACCGATCTTGCAGAATGTTTGGATAAGTTTGAAGTAAAGTTGAAAAACGAAGCGGAGAATATTAATTATTTTATAAATATAATACAGAAATCTCTTATTAATAAGGTGCATAAATTACATGATCTACTTCTTAAAATCTTTTCTGAAATCGAGAATACCTCATGTGCCGGGACTATCACACAGTTGCAGTTGTCTAGTTTCAGATGACCAAGTGTTTGTTTCGTGACTATATTTGTATATTGTTGAATCACAATGATAAGCACGGGGTGTCAGTTTGACCAACGAATGCAGAGGTATATCGATGTACGGCAACTCGTCCAATGATCTATCGTAAAAGTAAGCCAAGACACATCGTAGAATTGCTTGGTGAGAAACGACGAGGACATTTGCCTGTAACAATCGAAATCTTCTTTACCGCTGTTTCACCTACTTGACGTTCAAGTTCCATAATCACGGGTTCTAGACGGGATACTACATCTTCATATGATTCGCCGGAAGGATATCGATAATGATATTTGTCATGATTCCTATCTTCTGCTTGTTTCGGATATCTGAAGTACATATAAGCCATCACTCATGTCATATCTTATAAAACCTTTGTAAGATGTCAGCATAAGTTAACCCCTCACAAATACCAGCATCTATCTCATCTAAAGCTTTCCAATATTCTGTATGGAAAGTAGGCTTCAAGTGCGAAGCTGTTTGTGCAGCTCGAATCTATAATTTTCTGGACTGAAAGTAAATTAAGGAAAAAAATTACTTTTTGCGAGCACCAAATGCGAAAGTCGATAAGATTCTTTTCTTTGAAAAAATCCGCTAGAGCAGAGGCGTAAGTTTGACCCCTCTCTGTTAGAGGAGAATCTCCTCCAAGACGTCCCATAGCGTTATACTCCGATTCTCCATGCTAAATAAGAATTAGGCAAATAATCATAGACCTAGTCTTACTCTTGTGAGATATATGCTACGAGGTAGCAAATGGATATTCATCAGGAAATATACCACTCTACTCTGAACATGTCCGTTTACGTTGTGCACAAAAAACGAACGTCCAGCATTGATAACCTATTTCAGAAAAATAGAAAAATTTTAAACATGAATTGAAAACACCTTGATAAAACTCAAGGCGTCGTCTAGAACTTCATCCATAGGTTCATATTGTTTTTTGTAATTTTCTATTCGTTTCATGAAGTCATCCTTAGCTTGTTCGGCAGACATCAAGCCTTTGTAATCCGGAGAATTAATCTTAACGAGGAATCAATTAATGATTCGAAAAGGAAGGAAGTAGTCCACCTTCACATCTGTGACATTGCTGTCAATGATGGTAGGATCATCACAGAGCGATTCAATGAAAAAACATCGCAATCTGAACTTAACTTTCAAAAGTATAAATCTTGTTGTTCACCTCTTTCCAACGCAAAAATCGGCGAGAGTTTGTCGTCGTTCCCGTGTCGTATTTGTCGCGTCAAAAATTGCGACATTTCCTGTACCGTTACACAGATATTGGGCCATGTCATTCATTGCTCGTCTTGCTGATTCACTGAAGCGTTTGAATTGATTGAAGTCGAACAAATGTCCTCTTACGTTCTAACTTTCAAAGCTTCCTTGTTATCCGGAGAAAAGAATGCTGCATTTGCTCCATGTACAGCATCGGATGCTGAGGAATCTGTTCGACGATATTCTCCAACATTGAAAACTAACAAAAAAAATTTGCATGTGTTGTCCACTCACAAAGAAACCTTTCGTTTTTAAGCCAATCCACTTCAAATATCGACAGAGTTTCTTAGAAATATAAGTCTTTCCCCTAGCGGGGAGGCCCACCATCACAATAACATTTGGAACTCTGACTTGATCTGTTTACAAATCTTTAGTCGAAAAAAATTGAGAAAAAAGCTAACCGGAAAAGCCTCCTTCACTGCAATGAGCCACTTTTCTTTTCGTTGTTGTTGGCTCATCAGTTACAGAAGTGAATGAAATTTTGTGGAAGGACGCATCCCCCATTTCACGCAGTCGAACGGAATTATCGAGCCTAAAGTTTAAACTTCTGTTTTAATCATAATATGCTAGTTGATAGAAAAAGCAGTTGTTGGAAATGCTACAGTAGAAATTAGGAATGGAGCGCGTTTATCCGCCCAGCTCATATGATGTCGATGGCAGAGCGTGGCATCCTTTTATACAAAGAAATTGTTTCAAAGTATAGTTATATCCAAAAATCGCAGAGCAATGATGTGTAAACTGTAAACACAAGCTTTCCAATTGCTTATCAATACTCTTTGGAGGTTTTCAGAATCAAAGTATCATTGTTCAAGTTTTCAGATTAATCAGTCTGATAGTTCTTTTCTCTATTTCGTTTTGACTGTTCTGTTCAGGGTATACTTGCAGTGAAATGTATTGCTTTACTTTTTTTTTCACGATGAATGAATAGTTTTCTATTCCTTTGGTTTTTTTAATTGGAGGGAAGTTGATGGTTGAATTCATCAATGATGAAGGCGGTAATAGTCTTGACAAAGTTTACATTGGGAAAGTTGGTGTTAAAAACTGAAGAGACGAAAACACAATACTTGAACGGGAAGAATAATGAAGAAACGCTCCTTGATGTTTTCCGGTTTTCGAAAGTGGTTTAATGGAAGTTAACGGCAAATCTCCTCTGAAAGCTACTCAAGAAGTTAATCGATATTACGAGTAAGAAGTATTGTTGGATGGGATAAATAAGAATATGTTTAATATGCTATGAGAATTGCTACAGAAACGCAGACATAAAACTTCAATCAAAACTTGAAGTTTCGCGTAGATCTCCTGCCATGACGTTTCAGCTGTGTGACAACTTCATTCTAATTCGACCAAATTCGCTAGTTGTTAATTTCGTTTTTTTAAAGTACCATATAAAGTCTTTTTTTCTGTAGAAAGAACAGTTGGTAGTGTTTATCAAATAGCCTCAAAGGCATGTGTTCTAAGCCTTCCCCAGACGAGGGCCGCCAGCAGATCCTCATGATGCCGGCTTGCTTTTCATCGATTCTTTCTCTGGAGCCCAGTAGTCCAATAACATAACTTCTTCCCATTTTCTATTGACTATAGTATGCTTATGCTTTTTCTGTGCACAAACTCTTTTAATTTCTGTTAAGCATCTCCTTAATTTCCTTTTATTTTCATGTGTTCACCCTATTGTCTCCCCTTTCCCTCCTTTTCTCTTCCAATTCTTATTGTTTCAGAATGAGGTTCGATATTTCTTTGCAAGCCATACTTTTCCTTTCTTTTGCTGGTAATTTTTTCGGCCATTTTCTAAGCTGAGAATTGGTTTTTAAGCCCACATTATTTTAGTGAAAAATGAGACAGAACGTTTTCTTAGTGTCTTCTTTCTGATCTCTTGCTTTTGAGAATAAAAAATCAGCTTCGTATCAAAAGAAAGAAACAGAAAAAAAATTAGACGAGAAAAATTGAAAAGCAGCTTCAAATTGTCTTTTAAGTGTTGATTTCTGCTCAAAATTGTTCAAGAAACAAAGATGGACGAACTTTGGAATGCTATACATGTCTAGGACGAGATATGGAAAACTGCAACAAAGGTTCAACTTGTTGTAAAGGCTCTTGCTTCAAGCTTATCGATGTGGGCGAGTAGAACAAACATTTAACTTTCTTATAGTAAACTATTTAGAACACAATCTAATCATAAAGGGATGTAACGAGGGTAAAGAGGAAGATGCTTCCATGAAGGTTCGCGAGTTAGCTGTTCCTCTATACTGGTCGAAAAACGAGAACGTGAAAGGTTTTTTTTCATTCATATATTTGATAATTATCATATTTTCAAGGAGAGTCTTACTTCTGCAGCAGTAAAGCGTTCTGCAACGAGTCAGCAACGAAGTTCCATATTTTGGCTATAATGTCCAGCTGTTTGTTCGCTCTCTTATGGATTCAATAAGCTCAAATGAAATAATTCTGTAAAAAATAATTTCAGAGTTTTGATTCTCACATTTTAGTAATGACTTGGTTTCACAGAAATCATATTAGACTGGGCAATTTTTCGCCTTATTAACGGTATTTGTTTTTTAGGTAAAAATAAAAATACAAAATAGCTTCTTCTCCAATTATTCATCTCATAGCATTTCTTCTGAACAAAGAAGGTGGATATGATTCAGAAATTAGAAAACAAAGAAGATGATTCTTCATTCTAAGTCGTTTCCAAGTTACCATAAAGCTTTAAAGCCCGAAACCTCATCATTTTCTATATTTCGTCAAACTAAGTATGACTGACAGAATCTGTGGTTGTAATGTTATTACGGCAGCTGGGATTGTGACCAGCTTACAGGTAAATTTTATAATTTATTACCAAAAGAGCATCATGTCAAACGGCCGCAATCATTATTTCGTGATGTAAATAAGTGTGATATAAGAAAAAGTCAACCCGTACCACTGCATCTACAGAAAAAAAGCTTACCTTGTTGGTACTACACCACATAACAAGCTTAAAAGGTTCATTTTGGTATTAACAGGGAAAAAGTGATTTTAAACCTAGTTAAAACATGCCCACTCATTCTAGCTCATATTGCTTGTGCTTACATTAGCACCTACTGGAATGGTTCTTGATCGCTATAGAATTTGGGAAGCAACAGAGGAACGTGGAACTCTTAACCAAACAGAAGCCGACTTATATGCAGCTGAAGTAAATACTGAAACTTATAGGCTTATAAGACATAATTTCTAACTTGAGGGTAAAACGTTGAAATTCAAGCCGACACGATGGTCAAAATCGTGCTTGGAATTCATAATGGGCTGGTAAGTGTCATAGGACAATAATTTAGTTCTCTAACAATTAAAAGGTATGTTGGATATGGTGCCTTCTGGTTATTCACACTTCTGATATTGACACTATCATTCAAATATTATCGGCCAGTGTTTGTTATTCCAAACTTTACGGCACTTGTCTTTGGCTTTTTCATGAATTTATTGGCATTTGGTAGGAAGTTTATTACAAACAAAAAAAATGCAAAAGCTTATTTGAGGTGTTACGTTGTGGAGAATATTAGATTCGTCCAAAAGTTATCGAACAGACGAATATGAAGAGAGTTTTCTTTGTTATGTAATGGGAATACTTCTCATAGCATCACTGTGTTGTTTAATATTCATAATCTTCATTCATAAATATCATAGCTTCTTACGTCTACGATACGGACACCAAGTACCCAAAGTACGTTGAGAAGTACTTTAATACAATTATTTTTTTAAACTCATTTACAGTTTGTTCAAACACGTAGTCGTATGGGATACCCTGATGATGTTTATTAAAATGATGACGATTGCAACGACAAAAATGTTTTTCTTCGTTTCATGAATATTGTTTGAATGGAAATAAAACTTTTTTTATCAGCATCCATTTCTGACGCTAAACTTGTCTCCATAATAAACTGATAAACGTTCGAAAATTCTTTATATATAAGCAAACAAATTTGTGGAGCAGAAGTTCAACTCTTCCTCAGCTTTTTCTTCTCATATAAACATGATTTTCTCGATTCTCCTATTTGTCACAGCTTTTGTAACAGGTATTTCATATAGCTTTCTATATATTAAAATTTAATATTTTAAATCTAAAGGTGGTCATGGGTTTGGCTTGTCATCACATGTTCTCGATATCTCAACAGGCATCCCAGCTCAGAACTTTCAAATCATACTTTCTTATAATGATAATGACTCCTGGAAGCAAATAAACGGAAGGTACATCCTATTCTGCGATAGATATATTTAAAAGTTGTTTATGTTAGTTACTACACTGATATAAAAGGACGTGTTGAGTTTTCTGTTCCCAACCAAAGAGCGGGACAGTACAAGCTATTTTTCAACACTGGTGAATATTACTGTGTAGAAAACACATTCTTCCCATTTATAGAAGTATTACATTTTAATACCAAGTTTCAATTCTTTTTTCGTCGTTTCAGATAGTATTCAATATCGTTGACATGTCTGCGCACTATCACGTGCCAATTACTCTCAGTCCATATGGTTTTTCAACATACAAAGGTTCCAATTAAATAGTATTTTTTTAATGGAAGATAGCAAATTAATTAATAAATAAGATGATTAATGCTAACATCATTGTTAATGTTCCAAAAGGTTTTCGGGAACTTTTCATATTTCGGTTTTTCGAAATGACCATAAACTCTGCAAAATTTCTGTGTTTGTAAGACATAACATGAATAAACTTACTTTCAATTGAATTGGTTCGGTCAAGTTCATCAGCATCTTGTAACTCTACAGTACTATTAAATATAAAAGTATATAATCATACAAACCTTCTATTTCATACTTTTCCCGATCTGCATGTCCAACTGTTCGTTGTGAAATGGATTCGCCGTCATCGAAAAGAGAACCTTTTCCTATCACAAATATATATATAACAAAACATGATTTGAAAGAAAGGATTACCATTACAGTTATCATATGTACAAATAGCACAGGCGACACTTGTACCTGTACCGAATGTAAGATCTGTACATTTCTCAACACATCCTTTATGGAAAACTATGACAGAGCATGTTTATTAGTAGCGCAATATAGTTTCACCTTCTCCTTCTAAGGAGACAGAATAGCAGTTTGTGATTTTCGGGCATTCGACATCTTCAGGTGCGTTAAGACATGACTGAACGGATGAACAGCTCTGACAAATCAAAGCTTCTACAAGTATTAAAACAAAAATATAGGATGGTTTCAATATGTGTACCTGAGGATATGAATAAAAGAGACAAAAAAGAAAATATGTAAATTAGCATTTGGTCTCCGTGAAGTATCTAGGTGGGAAACGTTTTAATTGTATTTGCTTGTATGGATAAGGAGCATTCACTTACAAACCTTATCAAAGAAAATAAGAAGAGAATGAGAGAGAGCAAGAGAAGGAGAGTAGAAAGTTAAAGATTGCAAGTTGGTTATTAAGACAAAACTGTTTATAAAATGTTTATTCTATAACGATAACTAAGAAGAAATTTCATTCAATGCTGAATTCTGAGCCCGTTCTTCAGCTAGATTTACCCGATTAAATTTATTCCAAAGAAGGCTGATTTGTGCATCTTTCATCAATGAAGCTTGTGTTCGTTCAGATAAATTTCTAAAAATGGAAAGCCAATGATATTTTGATAATTAGTTGCTAACCTTCTTTCTATAGTATCAGTAATATTATCCAATTTGAATAATTGTGGACGATCAGTATTTCTATTTTCCAGAGGTAGTAACTTCATCCAGTTAGGATAAAGTTTCTTATCCTATCAAACAAAGGATTATCTACTTCATTATTAGGAAAGCCTACTATATTTGTCGTTTTATTCACAGCTTTCTCTATTTTCGATTCTGACGACATTGATGAAGCTGCTGTCGATTTTCTTATAGTCGGCATCGGTGACAATAGGGAAAAATCTAATTTCTCAATTTCAGGAAGTTCATCGGCCACGGAGACAACCTTAAAGAACATAAATATACCCAATTCACTGAATAAAGACTACTTGCCTCTCCGTAATCAAATAGCGGAGCTTCTAAATCTTCTACTTCACAGCCATCGAATGGTTCCTATAAAGCATGACCGACCGATATACGATAACTTCATTTCTCATGTAGAAACCTTTTGTTCTGTTGTCTCATTTGATCGAAAAGAAAAATTTCCAGACGATAAACTAGCTATTGGACGGTGTGATGTTTTAGCTAATCTACTACTCCATAAATCATCTTCCTTATCAAAATTTTTAGTTCCTGAAGATGTGGAACGAGAATATGTTGATGGCGAAGAAACCGAGTTGAATTCAATGGATGAGAGGAAGTTTTTTTCGTTCTCAATTTCTGATACAAGATCCATTTGGTTATTCATCATCTGAAACTTATGACTCTTTTTTTTGCTCCATGTATAACGAACCTGTAGAATATTGTGACGGTGAATATTCTTCAAATACTTGGCTTCTTTTTTCTGCTTACGACGCTGCTCTTCAAACTTCTGTCGAAGTAGATAATTACCATGTTTGGCATAGGAAGCTGCGAGATCATCTCTCGAAGTGAATAGCTTTTCATCATCTTCTTCCTCATGACCGTGAAAACCACTATCAGGATTATCTCTCGCTGATGCAACTCTCCTAAGAGTATAATGTAAAATCTACAAACAAAACAAAAATAAAAATACCTTGAGCTAAACGGAGCTTTGGGATTAGTTTTGCTTGAACAAAAGTCTGATGGTGACAAAGCTAATCGAATTGATATTAAAGATGAATCGTGAAAGGTGAAGCACTTCCAAGTAGAAGAAATAAATAACATTTGGTTGTATACGCTATAGTCAACCTACAATATTTCGAGTTGAAAAGTAGATTTCACATCACTCACCTTGTTCGTGTGAATCAGAAGACCGGATATCCAGTCGTTCTGTAAACTTTCTCCTCGATTTTCACTCGTTTTTTCTAATAAGCTCTTGCACCAGACGTCACGGGTAAACACTGTCAAAGGTGGTAGGGAAGACTGAAATAGAGACTTCTTGTGGGTTAAAATGAAAGACTGTACTTCTTGTGGGTAGTTCCCTCTCGCCCATTCAAAAAATAAATTAAGATGATCGATATCCTGATTTGTAGCTAGTGAGTACCATCTAAAACGATAATCAAGATGAGAAGCTGGGAAAATTATTTACTTGGAAAAAGGTATACGGTCATCTTCGGAAATATCTCCTAATAACGATTTGTATTTCAGTGTTATCTCAGGTAACTCTTCCTGAAAAAATATTATGACAGATGAATGTGCACCATATGGTAGTGAGTTTAGAATCAACCGCTCAACACAAAATATGAAGAACAATTAATGACGTCCGAACCGTGAGTTGCGTAGGATGACAAGGAATTTATTGTAATTAGCTAAAATTTACCCATTGCTCTACGACTGCTAGACTGAATGAATCGCGGAATATAACTGTCATTATAATTAATACGATGCGAACTACTATAGAAAAAGGCTCTCGTACAGATGATCTCTTAAATAATGATTTGTTTATATGAAGGAAAATGTGTTTTCAAACCGTTTCTCTGCTTTCTGAAATAATCATCAATGCTTTGGAGAGTTCTTGTGCTAATCTATTGGACTTGTGAAGTGAATAGAGAATGATATGAATCAATATATGAATCTCCAAATGAATTTTTTCCTCGTCACTAACAATATTATCAAAGCTTTCTGGTGTATAATACACAGGAACACGGGGAATCTGAAAATAAAGTTACTACGTCTGTTAAAGTCATTTGAAACATACATTTTCAGTTGATTTCGCTTGTATAGGTAATTCTGAGAACAAGTATTCAACTCGTTCAACTAAATAGTTTTCTAACATCATAATGTAATCTTTAACTAGTAAGATATCTAATTCTAGTAATGAATCCACAAAGTGCTCCAACGATCCTTGAAGGGAATTCAAGTCCATCAAAGAAGTCTGTATATACTTGGGAAGAGTAACATAACAGAAATCTGAGATATGAGTATTCGTTAATGATAATCTAAAAATAGCAAGAAAAAGTTGAATTAAATAGATCAATATGTGCTTCTCACCCATATTGGTTATCAATATATAACCTAAGAAGTAGGGCTGTTCGCCGGTCATTGAAATGGTCCGAATAGAGAATGGCTTCTAACTCTAAATTACAATAATTCAGTAGAATTATTGGAAATCTTGGAGAGTATTCGATGGGAAGAATAGTGGCAATGTCTTCTCTAGACAGGGTGTCAGCATCTTCAGGGATACCTGTAAATGATACTGTTTGTCTTTTTAGAGTTATGCCCAGCTACTAACCTTCCTGTATGTATTGGGCCCACAGAAACAGAGACGGAAATCGTGAGCTTTCTTTTTTAAAAATAAACAGTGGAAATCCCAAATAATAAGCAGCAACTATTCTAGCGGTATCAACTATGCGGTCTTTCGCTTTTGGAAAAGACAGAAGGGCTGCTCGTAACTGAGTTGGTTCAAGGAAGGGTTGTGATTTAGACATGATCCTAGGAATATCTGTAAAATATAAGAAAATAATGCTATTCATATAAATTTTAACATAATAAAACTAAGAGGAGAAGGTTAAAGCAATGACTATGTCTGCATATGGCGAGCTGTTGTCGATTTGTCCGTTTGGCATGGTTTCCATGACAACGAATACACAGAATGTCTTGCAAATGTTATTGTTCAATCGGCTTTCAACGAGTCTAATCTATTCAATAAAGAGAATGATTAAATTTTTTTCAATAATTTCAACTTTTTTTTCGTGTTATTCCCTCATTTATCTTTGTTTTTCGAGCTTCTTCATTACCTTCAGTTCCAGCGGAAGGTGCTTCCGGTGATGTTTGAAAAATTTATTAAAAGCGTCGAGAATCCAAAACCTTCAAACTTTATTTCATCATGAACCGAGCGAAAAATGAAAAAAAAACTAACTAAAACACACTGCTGAGTATAGAACAATTCATAAGGTTTCGATCGAGCTTACTTTACGTCCAACAACGATTATACAAATCTCCCTTCCTTCAAAGTACAAAATAAGAGTGAAACTATTCAAAGTACTACAAAATGTTCTAAGGTTCACTTCAGGATAAACCAACTCTAGCTTCGAAATTCCCTTCGATATAATCAACGATATTCTGGGAGAACATAATTTTAGCCTTCAGGTGTAACCATTCCGAGAAATGAAAACCAATTATTTGTAAAATTCCTGATAGAGAAAATTATGTGTCTCTCTTCATCCCATTCGCAAAAAAAGAATGAGTTTTCTTTATGAGCATTCATTAGAATGAAGAACAGGCAGTGAACGAATGAAACCTATGTTGCGGCAAAGGAGCCAGCTTGTTCAGAAGAAAACATTGTAGCAGATCTTTGATTTGAAAAAAACGGCAGACAAGGCTTTTGTTCCATTACAATATACTTTTCATTGCATAAGAATGAAGTCGAGTTGTTCCTATAAAGTGAGGAGTTTCAGTAGGTGCATTCACAGATAAACAGCAACATGAGCGTTTACAATTTTATTATTTTTAATTTTTAAATAACCGGTTATTTCAATCTTGTTTTCTGATTCTCTGATTAGCCCAGAAAATTATATTGTACAGAAAAACTTTTTGTGAAGAAAAAAACAAAAAGTTAACAAAACCATCTCAAACGCAAACAAGTATGAGAAATGAAAATTTCTTAGCATAACATGAAAAGAAAAAAAATCATGTCAAGCCAGAAAGGTAATATCACATATCCAAGCACGAAATAATAAAATTAGGTTGCATCAAATTATAAAAGACGTTGTCTTTCTACTATTCTCATTAACTCTACGAATGATTCGTTGACATTATCATTTCTCTTTGAGGACACTTCCAAAAATGGGCAGTTCAGAAAACGGGATAGATCTTGCCCTTCATATGATTCGACTTTTCTCTTACGCCAGTTGTCAGCTTTGGTACCAACAAGCACAATAGGAACCTATAATAGAAGAGGTTGATAACGATTAAAATTCAATTGTGTCTCACATTAGGAGCTCTTCGCTCTGTTATAGCTGTGTAAATATCTCTAATAGCGTAAAAGGATTCACGATCAGTAATTGAATAAACTAAGATAAAACCATCTGCAGTTTCAATATCATGATCACTATTCTGCAATATTAAAAATTATATATTTGAAATATATTAAACAAAACATACGTCTCCATCAATAATGTCAATCATACAGGTATTATTGATATCATCATCTCCGCCTTTATGTCCTAATATATCAGTGAAAAGAATTTCATTTCCATATTGAACTCTTCTGAGAGAAGTTTTGCCTACAGATACTGATCCCATGACAGCGATCTTACAGTCTCTAATAGAGAAAGAACGATCCTCATCAGTATCATAGTCACTGAAGCGACTGAAACGATCAAAGGTTAGAGTTGTCTCGAAATTAAAGATACTTACATTTTTTTTTCCACGTCTTCTTCTTCCTCTCTATATGCTGGATTAACATAAGTTGTTTGCTTGCTATTTTTGATTGATTCAAGGAAATACTTTAATTCCAAATTTGGAACTGGTGGAGTCTGAAGGTAAAGACGTATAACAGGCTAAGCTGGCAGAATGACTTACAGATTTGGCCCCTTCGCCACAAACAATACAACGGGGAGATTGATAGATGATTGGCTTGTCATTTTGGCTACTTCTGAAAAAATCACGTCAAAGACTGTCACGAGTAGAATATATGCAACCGTTGTATTCACATGTTCATGTGAGAAATGAAATTTCTCCTTTGTGAAATATTTTTTGAAACAAATATTGAAGAGAAACTTACTGGGCGGTCATACTCCTATCTAGTAGCATATGACAACTGTTTATCCCCATCCTAATTTTATTTCTTCTAATTTTAAACGGAGCTTGTTGAGCCAGTAGGGATTGAATGCATTTATAGCATAATGAGTGTCCACATTGAAGAGTCATTGGCTGAAATAGAAGTTTAGAAAATTGTATTCACCCTATATTGATCAAGCAAGATTGATAGAAGTGCAAATATTGTTTTCAAAAAATGAAAAAAAGTTGCGCAATGTAATTCCGTCATAATTTTCTCAACATGTCCTCTATAGAGATACTGCTTACTCTTCTCAACTGGTCAGAGTGAGGACATGAGTGTAGTCAATGGACATGTCATAACCTCACGGAAGTTTACCTCTATTTAAGGTAGTCTTAATTCAATATGGCGCAAGATGTACAACGCAATTAGCACTAATAAAGGTATTTTTGGCATGAAATATAGAAAAAACAAAGAGAAAATTGAGGTTGTACATGATGGAATTATAACAATACATTTCTCAGCTCGTAACTTATTGTTATATAATAAGCTAAATTGAAATATGAGACGATGATTATTACTTCTATTGTCAACTAATTGTTAGAAAAGACACTTTTTTTTTTAGTAAAGTTGAGTCTTTATCTCTCTCTTACTCCTAGTCTTGTCTCTTTCAAAATCTCTCGTCAAGAGGTTGTCATCGAAACCTGTGGACGAGTCAAAAAACACAACAAAAAAAAGAGGACAAGAGGCTTAGACGTTATGCGAGCTTTTTTAAAAAGGTCATGACAAGCATGTATGAAGAAGATCTCTTAAGTGTTAGAAAATACTAAATCACTCATGTAGAGTAGAGGTAAAGTAGGGATTTGGAGCATCAAGAGAGATTCAAGTATGAGTGTTATTTTTGTTTCTTTTTTTTATCTACTTGAAACAATAGTACTAAAGAGACAGTTTGATGAAAATGTTCCCACAGCATCAAAATATGTTCGTATAATATGATTGGCATAAATCAAATTAAAATCCAAAAAAATTGAGGTCTTACAGAAGGCAGCTGGGTCAGATGACTCTAAACTTAGGGTTAAGGTTATTTGTGAGCTCAGAAACAATAAGATGCATATGATGAGAAAGCCATAATTATAGGGATGAGCGGAATCAAATCCGCTGCTGATGTACAATTTTTTTTCATTGCGTAATCATGACCGCTTATCCCGAGGCCATTCAAATTATTGAGTCAGTCTTCTGGTCAACAGCAGACTGGACTTGCTTTCGATACTTTCAAAAGGTTATCGGTAAAAAGAGAGGAAACTAATTTAAGATAAATGAATCTATCAACAAAATATTTGAAATGAAATACCTCAACAAATATTTTCTGGCAGTGTGGACAGATTCCTGGAGCTGTGCGTTGTACGTTTGAAACAACATCTTCATCCGAAGAAGCAACAGAACAGGTACCGTAGTCGGAATGGCAAGAAAGTTGAGAACTTGGAGAACCACAGGAAGGCATCTGAAACAATTTGAAACTGATGAATGTTACAAACAAGCTTAGAAATTGAAGATTAAAACATATAAGGACCAACACGAGTAAGACGTTGAGGCACTAATGACTCTTTAAGGTAATCAGGGAAAGTAAGACATGGATGTACAGCCTCCATGTGTAGGCCAAGAGGGCGGTAATAGATGTGGGCGGAGTCAGTGTAACTAGCAACACCGATGAGCTCAAATGATTTGAACGGACAAACTAAGTATCAATGAAGTTTTGAATGAATAAGAAGAAGATATAAAAAGTGATGTTGAACAGAAATTCAGTTATACTCATGTTCATAATTTGAAAAATTAGAATGAGAACGATAATTTATGACTTGTAGGGAGTATCCCATTTGGCACAGACACAAGCTCAAAGTATCATAATTATGAACAGTTTCTGATCAAAAATCACATTCATCATTGAGGTATTCAGGACAGTCTCTTCCGTTATACTTCAGGCTTAGCAAAACTATAACTCTACATATAAAATGTTTCAAGTAAAAGAGCAAAAATAGTATGAGTCTCGATGAGAGCTTTCATATCAACGGATTGAAGGGATTAGTGCTTTCAAGAGACAGGATTTGTCAAATAGATACCGCACTTGGCAAATAAAAAGTTTGATGAGACAAGTAGATGAGGTGACGACTTGACTACTGTACATTCACCAAATATGTTACATTCTCAAGAAAATCCATTTTGCAAATAAAAAAAGTTGTCTGGGTTATTATATGGAAGGTTACATGAGTGGAAGGATTAACCAAACGAATAGTGTTGAGAGTAAATTTAAGCGAAAACTATATGCTATAAGTAATGAAACTTGAGATTTCTAAGAGATCAACAATCACATAAAAAATGTCTAGAACATGAACTACCTGTACGATGAGAACAAAATAAAGTCAATAGTCAAGGGCTCTAATGAACTAATGGGAGGAGAGAGAGGATGGATTCCACTGAACTTCAATGGTCAGCAGATGATGAAGCCACTGGCATAGTTCGTGTATGGAAGGTGTTCCCTACTTGTCTCCTCATGAACGTCTGATTAACACTCATTTTCCCTATATTCATTCATTAACTTGATGATGCTGTTAATTAAGAGGCTTAGTGAGTTATAATGCAGAAGGAGAATGAAGAAGATTATTGAGTCGCAGGTATGAAAAAAAAGTAAGAAAAAGTTGTTTGACGGCATAATGACGACGGCAATTAGTTTGAAACATTTGAATATTTCTAAATTAGCAGATTTTGAGAGTCATTACAGATGGCGATGCCCATTTGAAAATTGAAAGAAAAAAGAAATAAAACAATGAATAAAGTGTTACAATTCATGTCAAAATGCTGTCAGCATACGAAAATATAAATGAATGTAATGATATCTGCCAATGGATTGATTAAATAAACTTGAATAAATAAAAACAAATTGTTGTTTGTTAATAAACAACATGCGTAAATGCGAAAGCCATTGGCAGTCCGTGAAAATTCCAAATATGACCAGAAGCTAAGACAAATAAGGCCATTTATGGTTGTGAACATATCTGGCTAATTCCAAAAAAACAGTTGTAAAATTCAATTAGTGACAATGAGACTTATAAACATTCTTCTTTAAATGTTTTAAATCACTTTCAAACTTCAAATCTTATGAAACAAAAAAGATGCTGAATAAGGAGTGAGTGACTGTGTTTTTTGCTTCTCTTGAATGCCTTCGTTTTTGAAACTGTCACAGTTTTGAATGTAAGACATCATTAAAAAGGATGAGAAGACATAAAAACAACTTCGATGGCCTCTCGAAAATACACAAAAAACACATCAAGTAGTGGCTGTCTATATATGGCCACTCACGAATTGCTTTATCATTCGAAAAAATCAAAAAAACTTTAAACTAAACAAAAAGACATTCTTTCTCTTTTTTTCTTTCAATATCTTACTTTTGGAAAATGAACTTTTTATTTTTCTTGTTGTTATCAAACAAGTTCATCGTTTTCTAACGAAAGAAAGGATATAATTTCTTTTTCAAATACCTAATTTGGATTTTTATATTAATTGATGGCACGCGACGCTCAAGAGATTCTCATGACACACGACGAATATAATCTAAGGTGATCGGAACAATTTATGGTTATTATCGGGTTTCAATCAAAATTTGAACTTTTTTCTCCACCTTCTCACAAATTATTTGCACTTTGGGTGAGTCAGTGTAAAAGAAATATGAATGACAATCTGAAGGACAATCACTTTCCGAATACGGAGTGACTTACATCTCTCCTTTTTTGTTGTCAGCCGACATATCTCTTCCCGACTACACGCGTGTTTTCCAGATGCAAAAAAATATCAAAGTGAAGTAAAATATATATGATAAATCAAAAGTAATGTAGGTGAGAGAATGTCTTAGACTATTCAATCATCATATCAACTGACAACTTCAATAATAGCGAAAATACTGCTGTTGATATATCCGTCATATAAAGTATTGACTCTAGCTAACATTACTATAAATGCTTGTGGCACTAACATTCTGATCAATCTGCTACGTTCGAAGATAATCAAATAATATTTTAACAAATATTACTAATTCTCAACTTCTGGTGCACATTCGTTGTGATGTCAACCATAAATCAGTAGATGGCGTCAACTTTAACGCCGTAGCGTCAGTTTCTCAGCAGTTGTGCCTGTCTCAGGTCGAAGAAGAAAAGAGAAAAATGAAGCAGACGAAAAGCAGCCAAAAGGAAGAAAACTCGGAGATTAAAACGGTTCAAAAAAAGGTAAACGGACAGTTCCAAAAGGTATCAATGGTCTGTCAAAGAGGTTCTTTCTTTCTCTCCTCAAAGGAGAAAAGACCAAAGCAGTCCCAAGGTGAGATGTTGAAAGATTCATGAAAAATTGTATTCAAATGAGGAGTTTGTGACAACAATGGTTTTGCAAAACCGATAAAAGTTTCTTGAATATATAATGAGGAACAGAGGGGAATATGAATAAAAACGAATGAAAAAGGTGTGAAGTGAACGAGATGACAACCAGCTGCGATTGATTAGAAATTTCTTACAAAACGGAATTACAATCGTAAAGTATTCTCTTAAGATCTGTGAATGGAACCCTTTTCCATTACAGTACTCGGTAGATGTGCGAAAAAATCAACATTAATACCATAATTACGGTATTAATGATAATCAGATAAGAATGGTATTTTGCTTCGAAAAAGTGAGAAGGGATTAAGTTAGAAGTCGTGACCTCATCTGATGGGAGATTCTTTTCAGGTATTGGATAACAGTAATCGAGAATAAATTAAACAGAAGAAAAAAAACTAGTAGAGACGGGGGGAGAAAGTGAAAAAGAGGAAGAGAACCCAGATGAGAGAGATGCTACATTCCTCTAAACATTGAAATCCAGATTCTAGCGGTTACAGTCGCTACAGTGAGAAAACATCTGTTGGAGCTTATAGATTCTCTCACAAACATCAAAGAGAGATCATATTACTTGAAGAGAGTCTTAAGAAACCTGAATATAGATCCGGATATGATTGAACAAGGTGAGAAAATCTGTTGCCTGATGTGTGAGCATCTGCAGCTTAAATTCAAAAAAAAAGAAAAGAAGAGCTGGATAAGGATATACAGGTGTTCCTTTCTAGTAAATATGAGGTTAGTTTACTTTATATGGTATGGCGAAGGATAAATCAAACAGAAAACTAATAGTAATAATAGACAGCTAGCTAATTAGTGATTCTTTAATAGAAAAGTAAGTTCGAGGTCATACTGTCTATAGAACGTAAGGGCTCCAAAACAAATTATTACAAGAAATGAATTGAAAAAACGAAACCGTCTATTGGATTTGTTATACAAATGAAAAGAATTACAAATTTCAAAAGGAGATTTGCAACCCGAGTTGCGTAGAGAGGCGAAAGGGGTCTACTTGTTCATTTACTTAGTAGATTAAGCCAGAAGAAATAGTACCAAACCATGTTCTCACACTAACAATTTAAGCGAAAAGACGGCTAATCTTCTTAAGGGTAAAAGCAAATACAAAACTACTTTTACCATATTCGGTAAATGAAAGAGAAGATGAGTGTGAAGCATGTGTTAGCAAGTCACTTATCATCCAGTCGGACTATACATCTTCTTACAAGTCGGTAAAATTAAAAAGAGATGATCTCAAAAACGAAAAAGAGTTTAAATGCAAAACATACACAATCTTAGAAGTAATAGAAAAATCAACAAAAAGTCGGATATATTAAAAGAATTACAAAACTACTGTACTCCATTTTGAGATAAAGCATAAAAAACTGTAGGCTATAGGATTTCCACCCACATAATCAACCAAAACAAAAACAATTCGTCCAACTTTGACATATGAGGTTAAATATTATAATTTACAATTGTTTAGATAAATTCTCTAATGATAAAGTCGGCAAGATGAGACAGTTTACAAAAAAAACAGTGATGGGGACAGGCGTGACCTTAAGCCATTTGAGATATCTTATTACTGAAGCAAACTGTCAAATAAAAAGTTACGGCAGACAGAGATTGGATGGAAATCATTCTAAAACAAATTTTAAGACAAAGCTTGTCTAGAGGAGAACAGATGGTTTCCCGGGCAAGTTTCATGGGCATATAGCCAAGGTCTAACTTTATATGAGTTGTTTACTAACATAAACAACAAACAGAATAGCAAAACAAAATAACATAGCAAACTACGAAATGAGCAATGTTACGTCTGTGTGAGTAATAGTAATTACAAAATAAGATTTTTGATTGACATTTCCGTATACGTAAGTTAACGAGACATTGCAAAGTGACAGTTAGGTCGAGTAGGTTTTGACAGAAAACGGAGATGGACAGAAAACTTGGGGCTAAACCTGAGGATATATAAGAAGCAGAATGGTAAGATAGTTCAAATATAATGTAAGAGAAATAATAAGCCTTTAATCATGAAACTGTTATGAGCAATTGGCATAAGTATAGTTAGATTTGATATCGTTTCGATGTGTTTACATCTCTCAGTCTCTATCTGTTTCGCTCTACCATCTCTCGGAATAATATGTTCATTTGATATCAAATAATGCTCTTAAGTGACCTGTTAATCTATTTATTTAATAGATTAAAAGAATTTCTCAATTAAATTATGAAAACTTATATTAAAAATAAACAAAATGTAATAAAATCTGTTGAAAGAAGGATAGTAAACGATCCTCTATCATCATAACTTCTCCAACTCTCTCGAGTACAAATTGCAATGATGAGACATCATCATGTTTACTAGTTAATGACGTAATATTTACATATAAGGTAAAAAGATCTTCGAATAAATAAGATATAGATCTAAGTAGTCAAGTAGCAGAATTAAAGAATTTATAATAATGAATCTGATTAATAATGAATATTGATATCACGAAAGAGTTTATGCTACTATTCATTCCAATCGAATATGTGACTTGAACAAAGATTACCAAAAACTAATAAGTTATACGAAACCCTGAGAAGATATGCTTTGGGTGTAGTGAAGATATGAATAATCCGGTTTAGAGACATCAAGGTTCAAACTCAGATTAAAGTCATAAAACTGAATAAAAGTAATAAAACCAATTTCATAACGTGTAGAGAAGAGCGTTGTAGACTGTATACGATTGAAAGCTTAGTTATCTTTGTAATGTTCATATATTGTATATATGAGACAAAAAAACAAAACAATAGAAAATTACAAAGTCTCGTATAAAAGGAACAAAAAAGCCGCACACGTGGATGTAACAAAGAGCTAATGCCCAGAAGCAAGTTGAACATCACGGCATGAGCCGCCTTAACCAGCGTGATAGACTCAGTTAGTATGCCTGTAGGCTGTCTGTAGAGGACAAAGAAATGTTGTAAACAAAAAAGGGCTTGAATAAAACAGGATAAAAGACTAAGCTTCTATTGTAATAAGTGGTCTACAAGATAAACAAAACGAAAAATTTTGTTTTATAATGAATTCTTTGTAACGTCAGAAACTTAAAAAAAAAATCAGGAGAGGTATGAAATTTGAATTTTGATGTCGGTGAAATGATTCTCATCCTCTATAACAAGATATAAATCCGACTTAATAACACGATAAGAAACCTTTTGAAGTCAATAACATATGAGATCAGATCAATTCATTTGATAAACATGTAGAATCAGAAGAGATTTATTAAGGAAGATACATCTGGCCATTCACACCTTATATCGACCTATGTCTGATACATCGTTTAGTTCTTTTAGATTTCCCGACTTTAACAATCTTCAGACCAACTTATAACCTGATCACCATAAATTAGGCGGATTTTTTATTTACTGTAAACCATAAGCAAGTTGTAATCAGCAGGTGTTAGTTGAAAGCATTTTGTTTTTCTTTCCGACATCTGCTTCTTGTGCATAGATAGAAAGTTGTGATAATATACTCGAAAATAAAGCTTTGATACCATGAGTAGCTACTGTAACCTATTTGAAACAAATAGAGGGGATCAAAAATCCATTTAATCTTTCTTAGTTTAGAGTTGATTTTTGATTTTCTCTACAGGCAGGATTATCATAGAAGGATTTGCACTCACAACTAAAGTTCCTTGATTCGTCCAATGATAGATGAAGAGATTGCTTTGAGCAAAATGACCAATTATCTCATTAGAATATAAGAATATAATTCAATTATGAAGAAGTGCTTGAATCACGCCTTATGGCAATCGCGGCTATCTGTGAATCAATTATGATATTGAGTAATTGAACTATATGTTTCTCTAAACTAGTATGAAATCATTAATTATATCGAATTTTATTCAATTTTCACAATAATTATGTGCATATTAAGAGAAGCATCATTAATTGCACAGAATGTGGGTAAAATAGAAACCGTATCTCCAGCATATCTGAAAAAGTTCGAAGTATATATGAACACTGTCGTGCTTGTATAAAAGTTTTATGAACATACCCGTTCACCCGATGAAAATTAGAAACACTTATTAGCCATTTACCGACATGTTCTTGAAAATAAGGACTCAAAATTTCCTAGAATTTCAGTTTTGTACAGCTATTCTCTCTAGCAATATTTCAAACTTCCAAATACTGTTGTAGCTCATCGACATTATTTCTTATCCCATCATTTGCTAGAGCCTGTTCAACTGTTGCTCGTAAAAAGGAATTTTGGCAAAACCAGACTGAAATAGAATGGTTCGTTTCAATTAAGGTTTAAAGTACACCTTTAGGATCGGTATCGTCTCGTTTTTTAACTGGACTGCTGTATACAACTATTAAGCAACAAAGTAAAAGCAAAATTCTATAATACTCAATTTCTTCATTCTTTCAAAAATGAAAACAAACTTGAAAGCCATAATTCAATCGAAATCGATCAGCACTATGTAGTCAACATAGCATTCTTTGACACCTCTTATCTTAGAACCATATTAGTGATAACAGTGAAATAATCAAACATAGCACAAGAGACAATCAAATTCAATTTTTTGTTAACATTTTTTATTTTGCTATTCCCTGATAGTGTATTTTATTGACAGCCAGTTGTGGAGTCTTGGGAACAGTTTTTAGCACAAGAAATTCCAATCAGGAGTAGAGCTCGTGTTGCGTTTAAACAAGACATGTGAGCAATAGTGCTCGATGATCAGCTACATGTCAAAATAACCGCGTAGGGTTAGAAAAACACAGTTTTGTTTCCAGATTCAACATATAGGAAGTTGACAGTTATATAACGGACCGGACCAGTAAAAAAATTGCCAGAATGAGATATATACTGTTCATTTCACGCTTTCTTTCTCAAGTACAGCGTGAACGACCGTGTACAGTGGGCAGCATGTTGAAATTACGTCGGTACTTTTCATTGAACGTCTCACGTAAACGGTTGTGCTTCGTCGGCATACAGATGTTGAACTCTACTCTTCAACGGAAATGTGACTAGACAGCTAATTGGATCGTAGACTTTTCAATTAAGTTAGAAGCAATATTTTTTTAAATCTTTATTTCAAAAAATTTCTTTCAAATGCTGTCAAATATCAATTTCGCGTGCCAGTTCTTGAACAGTATTCAAAGGTTTTAGAGTTGTAGTAGTTATTGCTTCCTCGGTTGGCGGAATACTAGTTGTAGAGTTGTTTTCATTATCCTCGTTTGACTCCTCTGATTTGGATTCAGAGGATTCTTCAGATTTTTCTTTCTTGTGCTCAATAGCAGAGTCCCTATCCTTCTAAAAAAAGAAACATGCCAACAATGAGAGTGAAATACAACAATGTATATACCTTTTTGTTTTTTTTTGGAGCAGCAATAACGCTTGAAAGAATTAGAATGAGAATCAATGGTAGGATATACTTCATCTTATCAACTGAATGTTATGCTCGCAAGGATTCAACTGATTTCTTTCTCATCTCTTACACAATCCTCACAGCAATTCATTTGAACAATAAATTAATTTTAGTTTAAGATGTTACTGAAACATTAAGTTCCAAATGAAAAACATCATCGAATCTTGAAAATTGGCTGATGAATGCGAGAAAAGATAGAAAAGATGCAATCATAGAAAGCATCTGGGATTATAAACACCAAAAATGAAATATCATGGAATACGATCAAATTATATTTTTTCTAACCTTCAAACCAGCATTGATTATTTTCAATTCGCATACGTGTCCTCTTTCTTTTTCATCGTTTTCGACCTTCCCCAACTATTTTTCTCATCAGTTCATTCTGAACTTACTATATATTCCCATGCTCTAAGTAACTATACAATGTGTATATTGATAATTCCATTATCGATTTTTTTTTGCAACGTATTCTATGTGTCATGTTTTTTTGCTCTCTCACTCATAATGTTTAAATTACATGATCATCCTCATATATATATATATATATATATTTGTTAACATCGTATTGACTTTGTTATAGATTAGTTTTCTTATTTTACAATTACTCTTACGTTTTCTTTTTTATCTATTTCTTCCTCTTTTTTCGGCTTTCTTTTCCAAATAGTCTGGCTATTTAGACAGACATATTGGTCGATATGTTGCAGGGGCATGTGCTGCCCAGACACATTGCCTTCCTCACTCACTCTCATTTTCAAAAATGAAATTTGAAATTTTTCTTTTTGGAAATGATTCTGTATGACATTGATCTATCTTAGTTTCTATCATCATGTAATACTTCTTTATAGGTCATAGTATGAATATCGTTTCCACAACTGTTTTTTCTTTATGACGATCTTTCCTCTTTCTCTTTTAATAATCTTCTGCTCGTCTTCAAACATATCACGCCATATACCTATGTGATTCTGTCGATATTCAGTGACAGAAGTTTCTTGAAATTTTTGTGAAAAATGATTAACAGAAGACGGGGAAAACACTAAGCTGACCGCTCGTGCTTTCACCGATTCGAAACTGACTTTTCATATTATTTTCACGTGAATTATGCGTACGTGAGGTTCTTTATCTATTTTCCAAAGATAATTAGTGATAGTTTTCTTTTTTATCTTTCTTATTCAAGACCAAAACTCTTCCTCAGATATCTCCGAGTAAATGAGAGCGTGTCATTGACTAGACTAGATTAATCTCATCTCTGATTTTTTTCTAAGAAAAACGGAGTAATGCAAATTATAGAAAAGCTAGCTTCTCAACTTGTAAAATTTGGAAGCTTTTTCGTCGTATAATTTGCTTCCGCGACATTAGCGCTGAAAGAGGAAGAAACGTGAAAGGCAGAATGTGAATGAAGGAAACGAGAAAGAGAGAGAAACTGTTTTACTGACCAACAGCTAAAATGATAAGAGAAATCGCGCCATTTGTTGGACAAAGTACAGACCTCAACCTAGATCTCTAACTAATAATTATTTATTTTTTATAAAATTTCTTATCAATATTATCATTTGATCGCATAACCATGTGTCATTTTCTCATTTTCCTTCATCTTATCACCTTAAATCAAAGAAATGATCTATCTGTTATGAAATTTAAATTGGAAGCTTTGTTCGTCTATTAAACTAAAACAGTGTTTGTACTACTCTGCATCTTCCGATGTGCTCTTTATTTGATTTTTTTCGAGCTTTTGTCAACTCAAAACACTTTCCGCTGCACAAATTGCAAATTTTGACCAAAGAGTTTTTTTTCGAAATAAATACATTACTCTCTCTCTCTCTAATTATCTTCGTTTAGAGGGTTAAACCATGGTGCTGCGTGACATTGACAAGGAATCTTTTTATTTAAAAATTGATGGAAAATGGGTTTTTATCGATCAAGAAGTTTTGCAAGCTCATCCTGGCGGCAGTGCAATTACCACATATAGAAACAAAGAAGTAATTTTTTTCAAACATATTTCTTTTGTATGAATATCTGAAACATTTTAGGCTTCAACTGTTTTTCACACATTCCATGCTGGATCTAAAAAAGCTTACAACTGGCTTCAAGAGCTGAAAAAAAATTGTCCAACTCAGGATCCTCAAATCAATAATGAACCAGTAACTATATCTCACCAAAACTTTGATGAATAAATCCCATCGTAGGAAGATCTACTTCCCGGATATGAAGACGTGAATATGGGCAAATTTGACATTTCATCGGAAAAATCTGACCAAATTACTAAAAATTTTGATAAATTGCGTATGAAGTTGAGGACTGACGGTTTGATGGAAGGTAGTTACGTGTTCTACATACGAAAGGTTTTTAATTCTCATGTAAATCTTGAACAATTTTTCTTATAGGTCTTAGAAGCTATCGGTATCATATGCTTGGCTGTTTTCTTACAGAGCAAAGAATGGTATGTTCCATCTGCCATTCTGATGGGATTGGCCTGGCAACAATTAGGTAATTTATTTATTATTTCAAATTAAAAAATATTCGATAGGATGGCTAATTCATGAGTTTACTCACAACCAATTATTCAAAGATCATTGGCATAATGACTTAGCCAGGTTTAAATACTTTTTAAACCTTATAAATAACACTTTTCTACCTTTCAGTTACTTTGTTGGTAATTTCTTGCAAGGGTTTTCGTCTGGTGGATGGAAAGAGCAGCATAACATTCATCATGCCGCAACTAATGTAGTTGGACGTGACGGAGATTTAGACTTGATGCCATTCTATGCGACTGTCGTACAAGATTTAAAGGTTCGTGCAGAAACAATCACTTCAAGTTAGCTATATTGTTTAAGTCATGTGATAATTGGCTTCTGAAGATTTTGCCCTATCAGCATATCTATTGGTCCGTGATGCTACCGTTATTACGTTTGAGTTGGTTGTCTCAGTCAATCCAATTCGTCCTTGCAATGCCAACACATTTCTATATCTATTATAGAGAGAGAGCAATTTATGAACAGGTAATTGAAACTGTATATTAAGTCATATGTTGTTTTAGACCTCACTTCTTGCTCATTGGATTCTGTCTTTGCTTCAACTTTACATGCTTCCAGATTTCCAGACAAGGTAAGGTCATATGAATTGCACTGTAACTATGGTCAACAATTAAAGAGTTATGTTCTTCTTGGTTTCTCATTTGACAGGAGGATTTTTGTTAGCTCATGTTGTCACGTACAATCATTATTCCGTGGAGAAGTTCCCTTGTACGTTTTAAATCTCCAATTTCGTTAAAAAAAATTCTTTCATTAGATAACTCAAACATCATGTCCAACTATGCTTGTCTCCAGTTATATACTACTCGCAACATGCGCCCTGGTGCTTTCATTGATTGGTTATGGGGTGGATTGAACTATCAGGTAAATTTGCGTTTGAGCCTTACTGAGCTATTATTGTCACTATCGTGATTTTCAAAAATCTCGAAGAAGATCAGAAATTTTTTCCGAATAATTGAAAACTTATATACAATTAATTCTAGATTGAACACCATTTGTTCCCTACAATGCCAAGGCATAACTTATCTAAGGTTGGCATAGTTAAAATCCCTAAAATAAAATATGTATTTGATCAGGTCATGCCGATGGTAAAAGACTTCTGCAAAGAGAACGACTTGCCGTATATGGTGGACGATTATTTTACCGGATGGCGGTTAGGCGTTGAGCAATTCGCCAATGTTGCTAGAATCGCACGAAAAATGAAAGAGAAGATATTGTAAAATGACTTATTTTTAAGTTATTGCTTGTCTTATATTTAATAAATCTATTCCATCAATTTTTGATCTTCGATGTAATTTATTAATTTTATTTGCTTGTATATTTGTACTTCTCACTAATTTTCCTCAACTCTTTTCCCCGAGCACTGTAACAACACAATAAATTTTTTTTCTGTTTGAGTGGTATTTCCAATTTTATCCGTATTACATATCATTTACATAAGCAGTATTAGATAAGTAGTCTAAACTACACGCCAAAACACTAACTATACGCCTGATCAGCTTTCAACATCGATTCTATTGAAGCTTTTTTTATAGCGCTTGTGTCAGTTGAACCCAATTTCTCCTGCGACGTTGATACATGTGTTATTCTGAGGATTATCCACAGGACAGGTACTGTGAATTATAAAATCTTCGAAATGACTGTATAAATAGATTGAATCATTGGAATTGTGTAAAATCGATAATACTGAGTATAGAATATTGAGTTCGTACATGTGGTATTTAATATATAAGATGACGCAGTTCAGAGAATTAGATTGTTAATTCGCTTCTCCTTGATTCACAACACATGGACCAGCATCATTGACGAGCTCTGCTATGAAAAGTACGTGACCATGTGATTACAGAGAAAATCGATGATTTTCAGAAGTCTGTGATCATTGTGGACATATGCATGGGAACGATGACAGTTCAAGGTTTGTTTGATTCAGTTAATTTCGAAGAAGCTATTTTTCGCTACCTGTTAGTGCTGAAGCTGGTGGTAGTTCTTCTAGACAAGCTTTAGCCGAAAAAGTAGTGTGTCGGCGGGAGCAATGTGTACGTTGCTTTTGTAGGTGAATGTAGTCTTGAATTTTCATCTCAGGATGTCTCAAATAGTTCTGAAGTAGGGAATGATGTTGTTGTACAAGGTTCATTGAACAGTGGAAAGGCTACAAGACCTAGAGATGAAGAATCATCCGTGGAAAGTGCTCGAAATCGTATGAACAAAAGTGGTAACGGAATAAATTGAAATAAAATTTCTATTTACTTATTTTCAGTGAATGAAGATGATAAAAAGGAAGAAAAGCGCCAGTGTGTAAATGACTTAAATACTGAAGACACTAACGATTCCCAAAACATTTCAAGTAATTTTTTTTGTTTCGTACTGAGCACCGGATGTTTTAGAACAAGGAACTCCTGCGAACTTTTGTAACAATCAAGTTCTAATCAAGAAAATTCATCCCAAAACAGATTTTTACAAAAGTATGTATTTCTAATATGTTATGTCCACAGTTCAACCTGTTTATAGTATTTTCAAAAGAAGTATCAAAAAACCCCTTGGGCTGGCAGGCTGAAAAGAGAACAGTGAAAGACCGATTTGAATTCTTGTTTTGTAATGAAGTCCTAGCTGATGTCTTTTTCTATGTTGGATCAGAAGAAGAAAAACAGGTGAATCTTAATTTTCTGCGAAGGTTATATGCTCCTCCTTTTTGTATAGAAAATACCAGCTCACACGTTTGTACTCTCTATTGGGTCTGCCGTTTTCGACGCCATGTTCAACTCTCATGCAGATGATAGACAAAATGGTTTTTTAAATATTTTCTCATTAATTTTAAACTGTTTCAGAAGCTTTCGAGGTTCACATTTCTGATGTTGAGCCGCCAATTTTTGTTTCGTTACTGCGCTTTCTCTATACTGATGAAGTTAATGTTGGACCTGAGAGCGTAATGTCTACTTTGTACATAGGTACCTTTTTGTTCACAAACAAAATACCGCACAGTGATATTAAGCAAAGAAGTACGGTGTCCCTGCTATGGAAAACACTTGTTTGACTTTCCTGAAGGAAAATCTTGAAACAGATAACGCTTTCTTACTATTGAGCCAAGTTAGTTGCGAACCTGTACAGATCCATGTTTTTCTTCTAGGCTCGTTTATTTGATGAGACTGATCTCGAAAAGATGTGTTTGGATGTTATAGATCGAGAAACTTATGATACTATTCGCAATGATGGTAAAGTTGGATTAAAAAACGTTATTTTGAACTTGCTCCTAGGTTTCCTAGAGATTGATCACGTAACTTTGTGTGAGTTTTTACAACGAGATACATTACGTATTAAAGAAGCAGAGCTGTTTAAAGTAACTAATAATCAAAGTAGTTTCCCAATTTCCTTTAATACAGGCTGTTCTTCGCTGGGCTAATGCTGAATGTCAAAGGAAAACCCTTCAACAAACTTCGGAGAATTATCGAATAGTACTAGGTGATGCTCTTTTTTTGATACGTTTCCCACTCATGACGGTCGAGGAGTTTGCAAATGTAGCAGGTGTTCGCATTAATATAATGGTTCTTCATATATTCCATTACAGCTCAACCTGGATTACTTGATGACCGGGATATTGTTGCACAGTTTCTTCAATATCATAAAAATCCGAAACCACCTTCCAAATTTGTAAATCGGTAAGTGGGTGTCAAATTGTTTTGAAACATCTGGCCAACTTGTAGTCCTCGTTCCGCGGCTTCTGGAAGAGAACTTAGAATTCATCGGTTCACCAAAACTGAAGCTAGGTGGGGATATTCTGGTCATGCTGACAAAATCAAGTAAGACTTCATAAACGCTATCGGTTAACAAAATAGTTTTTTCGATTCTCTGTTGACAAATCCATTTTTATACTCGGCTATGGTGTTTATGGAAGTGTTGCTGACTCTCACCAATACAATGTTACTTTAGAGGTGATGAACAGAAAACAGTTGCTCCAATGAATTGTATTTGTTCAGTTAATTCAGTCCGAGGATGGAAAAAGCGTTGCTCGAAATGAGACTTCATATACCAGTGACGGTACTGATGAAGTTTTCCCTGTGTACTTTCGGACACCTATGCGTATCGAAGCGGATACGTTTTACACAGCAAGCGTTGTCGTTCAGGTTTGTGAAAATGCGTTAAATATTTCGGTTTTGACTCGTTTAAGGGTCCCGATACTTATTATGGAACTAAAGGTCGGAGAAAAGTTGTTTACGCTTTGAATGATAAAACTGATGTCACTTTCATTGTACGTTCCAGCTTTCATGTCTGCTGATATTGTTTGCTATTTCAGTTCAGTCTAAGTGGAAACAATAACGGCACATGTGTAGATGATGGCCAAATACCAGAAATCCTCTTTTCTACTCAGATAACATGATTTTTCTTCCTCTACCATTTTCTCTTCCGGAGAAAATTATAGAATCTGTTGACTGATCTATAAGTTGATAACGATATCAATTTCTACATGAACCTTCGTGATCCCTACAAAATGAATTTATAATTTGCCTCTACAGAGTTTATGCTTCAAGCAAAATAACTCTCATTTGAACTATAAGTTAGGGAAACGGAACTTGAGTATTTATATAACTTATTGTCTATCTTGAATAATCATCGTAAACGCCCAACCCTTTTTATCCCCTAATTAATATGGCTCCAAGAACGTCATTTTCGATGAGTTGATAAATGGCAAAGTGATGAAACGTGACGAATTCTTCGTGCTCGGCTCCATCAGAATACAAAAATTAACATTCTCATCCATAAACAAGGACAAAAGCTGCTCTCTTATCATTTGTTCAATTTGAAAAGTTTCGTGAACAAAATTTAGTTCTTTCCTTTGATTAGGTACAAGCAACAGATCAACGAGAACATCATATTGTCTGATTTTTTTCAATGTATGTCTATTCGGAGCATTGATAATAACAGAAATGGAATTTTTCATTAAATAGATTATGAGTTCAGTCCTTGCTGCGATATATACAAAAAACTGGTTTTGGATTCAAAGTAAATAAGTTATTATGAGAGCAATGATATACAGCACCGTTGAGGAATGGGTGGTGGAAGACTTCTTCTTCTTAACCTCCGAAGGCAACTGAAAAATACATCAGTATATGAAACTTGAAGAGTTTACCTTATCCATGACGAACTGTCCGCAAGTATGTGGGAAATTCTCAGGAGGTTCAGGAATCTCATCGTCTTCGCCCACCTTAAAATATCGCAAAATATAACTAGCTATTAACAGTTCGAACCTTGAAAGCATAGGCCGTACCACCCATGTGATGTAACACAAGATGACAGTGAGCGAACCACCAACCAGGGTTTTCAGCTCGGAATCTCAAACAGAAATTGTTCTCATTTGGAAACCATTATGATATACCTAATCGTTATGTAACCTCCTACGGGTAACAATACAGTATCACGGAACGCCGGCCTAGGTCTCATATCAGGAAGGGCCCCGAGTTTCCATGCAGAATCTGTCCAGCTCGAGTCATCACAGTTAGCCTAAACATGGGCTATTAATTATTCTTGAGTTGTTTGTCTCACCTCTGGCCCATCGCAGAGGATATCGGAATTCATATTCTCTATCATTCCGCTAGAATTGTAAGTCGGCCATCCCACCTGTAACTCACTTGAATGCTTTTCCAACAATTTTCATACCTTAACGACATAGAAATGAGTTCCATGAATATGGAAAGGATGAGCATAACCAGTACCATAACCACCACCCAAACCCATATTATATATTGTCAACTATAAAATGATTATAACACTTAACAAACTGCTATTTTTGTTCACCTGCACAATATTCCCTAACTTGTGTTTCAAATGGTAGAAGCAATTGCAATTTCTATCATATTTGTTACTATTTTTAGGACATTTTTCAGGATCACAGGGCTGAAAAATCAAAGTTGTAACGCTTTTGTAGAAATTTAGTACTTTAGAGAATGCATCGAACTGTTTTTCTTCATAATAAGGAAGACCTGTTGGGTATTCGAATTTGTAACCATTGACATGAGAATCGAAGTGCATGTTGATGAAATACTCCTGTGTAGAATAGTTAACAATATAGAAATAGCAAATTAGCATACCTCAAATTTTGATGGATCTTGGGTGTTGTCTGATAGAAGGCTGCTATCAATGTCCTTTCCGTTTTGTAGGGTATCGAAATGAATACATGTATAGTTATACTCTGGAGCGAAACGTCGGAAAGGGCAGTTGAAAACTTTGCAGGGAGCTTCAGCGTTGCAGTCAGAGTTTGTGAGATCAGCTAAATTTTAGTATAGAAAATGTGATCGGTTTGATAATTACGTGGTTTATAATCGTCATCAGATTTAGTCATATTGTTGTAGGAGATAAAAGCAAAACCATAAGTTGTGGATAATTTAGTCCAATCCCAGCTGTAAAACTGAATGGTTTCAACATGAATTGGGTAGTATTGTTTTTTGGGATCAGTTTTCGCTTGCACGAGTATATCATATCTCTCTCCGGGAAAAATTATCAAACGTGAAATCTGGAATTCAGTAGTGGAATAGGACTGAAAAAAGACTTCTTACATTCATGGGTTTAACTTCATTTCCATCAGCCGCTACAAGAGTCATATCATGGTCTTCTATATGAATCATGAGTTCTTGAGCAATACCTCCGTTGACAATCCGCAGTAAAACATTTTCTCCTTAAACTAGGAGGTTTTCTTCCATTTTGATTGCGGTAAACCTTTCTCAACACGGAATATTTCCAACGGCAAGTCCAATGGTCTCTCTTGAACGGCCTTTTGGTCATGCCAGCCTTTTTCGTTAACAAGAATGGCCGAGATAGGTACAGCACCTCCAACATTCCCTTTAATTGTATTTGATATTATCGTTGAAACAAATTTGACACACCTCCATCTCGGAGTCGAGTAGGCATCCAACATTCTTCAGTGTTTTCGAAGCCGTACATCCATTTCATAACCTTTTCATCTAGCATCATCCACGAGTCTTCATTTGTTGTTGTCGCCCAGTCCTTAGATAGTCTTTAGGGCTCATAGAAGAAAAATAATTCACCTGTAGCATCATCATGTATTCCTTATCAGGAGTCACACGCTCATCTATATTTTTAGGAACAGATCTGTCATCGGTGTCAACAACAACGAAACCTGAACATGATAGTGCTCCAAGAGATATGGAACTACGAAACTAAACCTGCTAGAAGTCCATCTCCTCTATCTGATTGCATATGGCCATGGAGCCAATGAGTACCAATACGATCAGCTCGAAAACGATATTCATAACTAGAAAAGAAGAACGGAATGATTTTCAACTACCAGAAAACTAACTATGTTGTACTAGTAATAGGACACTGTTGCACAAAAGCTACTCCATCAGTATACCAGGCATATTTCTTGTCTAATCCATGTATATGTATGGTAACAGAATCAAGAAGAAGATTATTTCTCACTTTCAGTAAAACTTCGCTGTTTAAAGGCACAACCAATGTTTCGCCCGGGCTAAAAAAATAATTTTGTATGCAGAAAAGACAGCATGTTGTACCTATGTCCATTTATGGCAATTACGCGTTTATGCAGTCCATCTAAAACAAGAACATCTTCGAGGTATGAAGCGTCTGCTGAGTTTGTTATGATATTCATGTGAAAACTCGAGTTACAAGGTTTCAGCTGATCTGGATCCCTACTAGACCAAGATTTCTAGAATAAAAATACTGATCAAGCTTTTAGAAAATTGCAACAAACTGTTGTAGGATCATAGTCAACTAGATTAGTATGTTTGTAAGGATCAAAATTGGAATAACTCATTGTCAACTTTTTGGTCAAAACCATGTCGAATTCATAAACATTTTTCTGAAAATGAGGACCGTTTAAGAAAACAAGGAAATTCTCACATTCGGAGTTGCCACTACAAGCGGATCTGCGTAGAATTTGTAACTTGATAAGTATGGTAATAAGGTGAAAAAACTAAGTATTCGTAGCATTATGATATGATGTGATAGAATCGCCGAAAGCTCTTGTTGATCTTACAGAACTTCTGAAATAATTGAAGCAATGTATTACAGATAAGATATTCTGACAAGATTTTAATACGTTTAGTGATTAAACATGGTTCGAAAACAACTTTTAAAGGTTCATAATCTGAATGAGCATTTGAGGGCGTTGCAGTTGTCAGATGATCAAATGATAAGGACGGAAAGATTCAAAGCTCAAATTATGAAACGAAGAAGACAACAAAAATTAAATAAATTTTCATTTTTATACTTTTCGCTGTCACTAACATTCCATAAGATTATCAAAGTGTCTGTGATTGGTACCATATGGAGACGCTAAAAGACAATTTAAGCAAAATGAGATAACGTAGAGGAATCTTGTTTTAGAACTGTACACAAATATTCACTCGAACTAGTACATAAATTTTTTTTTAAATGACGTTTCGCTCAGAATGTTCATAATGACGTTTGTGAGCCTTCTTATCCCAATTCCTCAACGATTTTCTCAGCTGAAAAACAATCAAAAGTTAAGCTGCGACAAGTTTATATAAGTAACCCGTATACGATTTTGAATAGATAGTCTCTTCACAGCTTCTCCTTTATACGTTAGAAACTTGGAAGGCTTAGTAGGTCGACTTGCGATCATACTTTTCACGGTGTCTATATTGATACCACACCAACTGATGAAGTTCTGTTTTTTTTCTGTTCCCGGACAGGTGAAAGAAGTCTGAAGCAAATTCCATTGTTTTAACAGAGTGGTATACTAGCCTGAGTTTTATCTTTCCTAAAAACGAGAGAATATTCATTTTTCGGTTTTTGAATTTTGTCTAGAATCTGAAAGAAAATTACAACACTCGTTAAGAACTTTGATCCAACATCAATAGCTTCTTCTTCACTAGATAGAATGAATAAGTAATCATCCGCGTAACGAAACATGGTCGATCCTTGTCCCAAACCACAGAAAGTGCTGATATCAAACCAACTCAAGTAAATCTGAGCCAAACATCAAAAAGTAATATTTAAACATTTCTTATCATATACACACATGAGCTAATCTGGATGAAAGAGCGAAACCTTGTGGTACACCTTTTGTCATTTCATACAACTTTCTTCTTTTGTTTCCAACTCGGAACTTAAGTTCATGTGAGCTGGCCGTTAAATTTGATCACGAACCCTTAAATCACCGATGATGCGCATAATACTTTCTACAACTCTCTGCACTGACTGTAAATTGGCTACAAGTAAAACGTAGCTAGTACCTGAAAATACCTCCACTTCTCCCTTTATTTTCAATTCTTTTATTGTTTTCTGCTTCAGCACAATATTTCTTATCAAACTCGATTCAGCTTCGGCTTTCGTTGAACCACAACCATAAATTCTGAAAAATCTTCCTTTCCTACCCATCGCTATCTGATGGAGGCTGAAACAGGGCCTGAATTGAAGTTGTAGGTAAAGACTAGTTTCATTCCGGATGAATTACCTACTGCCGATGATTCTCGTCAGCATTGTTTTGAGCAAGCAGTGATCCAAACTGGCGAAACATTTGGTTACATCAGCCTTTATAAAAAACAGCTTCTCGTCTGAGATAAAAATATGCTATGAATGTAGAAATTCACCAAACTATTGTTGAGCCTACGGTGCTTGGCCAGAAATTTTCTCATCCTTCGTTTTATAAGGTTCAGACCTACAAAGATACTATGTATGCCACCGCAAGCGATCAGTACCTGGTTGTCTCGCGATTCCAGCCGTTTCCATATAATAATCAAGAGCACAGTTAATAGTTCGAAGACCATTAGTGAAATTCCAGTCAGCCCTCTGAACAGGAAGTTTTTGAACAGAAATATTATTGAAAAACCTTATTGAACGGACAAATTGGCCGGAGACTGGCTCCTCTCTTCAATATTTTCACTTCGGAAATCAAATGCTAACAACATAACATATTTCTCGAGGAACCGAACCTTGTCAATTTTTTCAAAAGTTCTACGAACTTTTTTCAAGCCATAGTCAATTGAGAACTTTTCAATTTCAACTTTCTTCCAGAACCCGTATCCTCTCTTGGGGTAGAACTTGAACGCAAGGCTTTTCGAAGAAGGACGTATTACTTCTAAAAACTGTCTACAATTGGGTTCAGGTTTAGATCTGTAACGAACTCACAAAATGCAGCTCATCGAGAACCAAGTACAAAAATGAGAAATCTCATATAACAAATTATCCCTCAAGTGTGAAAGATAATAGGCATCCGGCAAGGCTTCAATGAAATTCTTAGATCGGGTCGATCGTAAAACATCGGCTGGAAACTCCGGAAACAAACTAGTTCTCTAACAAAAAACGATGAGCTCACATTCTTTAAAACTAAGCTTTGGATAAAATTTCGGGGCTTTTATAGAAATGACACACTTGACTATAAACCCTCTCAAAACTTCTTCGTTTTTTCTACCAAGTAAATTGTTAGGTATCAGCGTATCGAACACGTATTCAAGAAGAGCAAGAATAATTTCAGAAGTTACCAAGCACTTCCTGAATGATTTTAAATTGAGGAATTCCATTGGAACTAATTGCCCCTCCCTCCCTCCTTTCCGTACTTTGCAAAGTCTTCAGCATTCTTCTCATTGTGAGGTAGTAAGTTGAGCATGCCCCACCTCCAACCGCCTTTCATGTTTTGAACATTTTCGTGAACTCGTTGTATTTGCTATATATGAAGATACGTTTACACCATGTACAAATTGTTTTACCTCATTCAAGCGATCATAGACAATTGTTCCCTTAATGTGAGATAGCGAGTTGCGACTCAATATTTGCTCCATAAGTATCTCAGGAGTTTCAAGCAAGATCTACACGAAATCTGAGAAACATCTCACAATCAAACTCACTTTTTGCAATCCAGCAGCACGAAAATTTTCAACTGCAGAAATTTTAGGAAGTTTGTCTATGGAAGGTGGTCGAACAGTCCTGTAATCCCATTTGTTGTCATCATCTGCATAACGGTCTTTCATCCTGAATAATCGGGCATTTGCTTCAAGAAATTTTATTTTTTCTTCAAATCCTCAAAACAGTAATACATTTAAAGTATCGTTTTCCGTGTCCAATTGTTCATTAACCAACAAGAAAAAAAACGAGTCACATTACTACTGCCATACAGTGAATTTTTTTGTTTTGGATTACTGTAACTGCGTACCGTACGCAGCGTGCGCCAATAAGAAATTTCAAAAATAGACAAGCGGCGTTAGCTTGCAAAACATATTCTGAATACAAAGTTTACTTTATATTTTCAAGTTTGAATTGATTAGAAGCTGTAATATTGTTAATAGCTGTAAGAACAATGTCTGCGACTGTTGAGAAAGGAGCGGCAGCTTTTAAGGTTTTTCGTCAAGTTGTAAGCGAACTAAGAAAAGTCGATAAGGTTGATTTTGTTTCAAGATTATTGTTCCTAAAGTCATTCTAGACCTTTTGCTCTAAGTCTCCCCAGTATAAGTATTTGAATGACCAAATGCGTGAGCATCAAGTCACTCAAAGATTGTTCTCTAAAGCTTCTAATGAAGTTGAACAGGTTACTCATCTGTATGCAACATATTTGTCAAGGTTTGAGTTTTCATTACTTATTGCTTATTTTCTTTTTTCTGCAGTACTCGTCGTTTGGCTGAGCTTGAAGCTAAATATAAAGGAGGAGAAAAAACAATCGAAGAAAGTGCGAAGCTTGTTGGTCTAGCTCTTCCTAAGAAGAAGTTCGAATAGTTTTTAGCGTAAAGCCTTGGTAGATTATATAATAAATTTTGTTTTTTTTCTTTGAGATTATTTCTCATCATTATAGGTGTTCCCTTACCTATTTTTCTCACATGTTTCCAGATAGTCATCATGAGAGGAAAACTCATAGAATATTTTTGTTTTGTTTCAGATCTGCTAATCACGTTTGCTATGAGTTCGAATGTACTGTAAGCTTGAGCTATGAGGAAATTTCGTTAGATAACGGAACGGTTGAATCAGATTTTTCTGTATTTATATTTATTAAAATATTACTTTCTCTTTTCACATCTCTTCTTTCTTAACTGGGTTTCTCCATTTCTTCCCTGTTTATGCTTCCTAATATCCCTAACATCAATTTCTCTTTCTTTAGAATGTCAGAAGAACAGGAGAATAAGTATGCATATCTCCTTAAACCTATCAAGGATTTGGAGCAAAATTTTGATGTTGACATCATAACTGTTTTGGATGGATACGCTCAAGAATTACAAGCTCTAGTTAATCAGCAACAGTTCGAAGTCGAAAATGCTCACAGGTGTGGAGTTCAATTATGACTTTCATTATTTCAATGTATCCAGGTTTAATTTTGCGGAAGCAGCTATGTTAATTCAAGGAACTGTTAGTGTCTTTGGAAAGAAAGTAGATCTTGTGTTTAACGAGGCTTTCAACTTTATGGAATCTCTCAAATCAACGAATAAATCTAAGAAAGGTTTGAGATATGAGTTATTGGTTTTATGAGTTCTTTTTTAGATGATGAAGGTTTTGAAAATGATGGAGATGATGCGTCTGACATTGAAGAGAGTAACAGCTTCACTGATCCTTCTTCATTACAAGATTTCCGTAACCTGAAGGCAGCGAATTTGGGTACCATTACGATGAAGCGTGAGTGACGGCAATGTTCAATTCAATGATATTTCAAATGTTCAGATCGACCATGTAAAATCCCCAAAATTTCCATTATGCCTATGTCGCTTATGCCATTAGCTGATTTTGAAAAATGCAATGTTCCTATCTACTCTCATAAAAAAAGTAAAGACATAATCGGAAAGAAAGACGACTTCAAAATAAACACTGGTTATATAGGTCCCCGGGTATGCTTTATCTCCATTCTTGTCCTATCTTTCCAGTTTTCAGGGTGCCTTGTTATTGGATTTGCTAAACGCTCAGATATTGGATGAATTTGCAAGTGATCAATTCATGCAGCTTGGCATGCACTGTAGTGACGATGAAGATGAAGATGCACAGAAAGAGAATGTAGAAGTTGGAGATATGGACTCGGGTAGAGGAACTCCGGACGACGACGTCCAAGAAGGTGTTTTTCAAAGATAATGTTCTGATACCTTTGGTGTTTTTAGAAATTGAGCTCCCCTCTTATGATGGGCCTGAGGGTAGACCGTCCAATTTTATTGAGCAATGCAGAAGGGGAACTGGGGATAACTTATGCCTAGCCAGGTTAATATAATTCAAGTTTATTCTGACTTCTCAATACAGACCGAGTACTGTGTTGCGAGAAGATGCTATGGAATGCATGGATAACAGTGGATTTGGAGACGTGGACCACTTTCATGAACCTTCTCTCCCCGCTCGCAAAGCTGACCCAGTACGTTTCATGAATATGGCTTATCTTATTCAATTTCTTTCAAGTGGGAGGTTGTGGATGACGTGGAGCCAGACCCTTTACAAGAGAAATATATTGATCCTTATGAGGAAGTTAATTGGAAACGACATCCAACAAAAGTCGTAAACTGTTTTACTCCATCTCAACCCCAAATCGAGAAAAAACGGAAGGTTTGTTTAATTAATAAGTCTGCCACTAGCATGACAAAGTTTTAGCTTGACAAAAAAATTGATAGCAGACAAAGAACGATGCAGACGATTCAGTATATAAACGAGCATTTTTATATGAAATCTCACAAAGAAAGACTGAATTTGAATAAGGGAGATGACTGGGTAAAACGAAAGATCAGCTAGGTATCGTATAGTTTTAACTTTCAGGAAACCGATGCCTTATTCCGATACATTGTTCAAAGACAAAAAGAGAGAGCCATAGTTAAACGAGAGAAAATTGCTCAACGAAGAAGGAGAGTGAATAATAAAGTTGCTGCACAATTAGGTGAGCTTTGATAAAAATTATGTGTTAAAGTATCTTTGCAGAAGAAGAAGAAGATATCCTTGGCGGTGCATATGAAAACGACGATGTTGAAGACGAACAAGTAAGGCAAAATTGAGTATAAAAAGTGGTTCATCTTTTCGCAGAATGTTGGAACTCAGAATCTACCTTCTCAGCCCAAAGCTATCCTCTTCCAAGATATTGATGATGATGAGCTGAGAAATGCTATGAATATACCTTCTTTGTATATGGGAAGACAACCAACGATGGCTAATATACATGAGAGGGGCAACGATATTCACGTGAATCTTGGGGACAATCGTCCGACATCGGACATGACAACAGAAGAAATTCTCAATTTCTACATGAATAAGTGTGTTCTCGGTTTATACATTCTCGAACAAAATTATGTCAAGGTACTGGACTTCTGCTCAGGAAGCTACTTCTCGGTTAGCGGCTCGTGTCCAAGACTGGGAGGAACGGATGGTCCCGTTATTAGAAGAAGAAGAAACCCGCAAGGAGTTTGATATCCATGAGTATGGAAGTAATGCACTTGATTTGTATTCGGATACGGGAGAAACCAAAACTTTCTCAGAGGTAAATAAAAATTTTTTTGTGCATAAGTAATGATCATTGCGAGTTTCAGCTAGTAGTCGGGAAAAAGTTCTTCGAAGTTAGTCGATACTTCTTAGCTTCTTTGATGCTCGCCAACACTTATAATTTGAAGGTCGTTCCGTATATCTTGATATTCACATTATTAGGCTTCTTCAGATTGAAGATAATCAGCAGCTAGGCCTGGGAATGGAAACTAACACTATGCGAGCTACGTTACTCAAGAAAGAACGACATCATGACGTTTTTAATCAGGATGGAGCCTTATAAGGGATCTCGAGTTTAAATACACTCAATCGCTCACTCACTCATTCATACATTCATACTAACATGTGTATATTATATAATCTGTCTTGATTGTTCAACTGAATAATAAAAAACCATCAGTTTTTGATTTTTCATTGTGTCCTATGCTTTAGCGATCGATCGCATTCATACTGTGTCTTGTATACTGATTTCAATAATGGTCCTTTCTAGGATGGCTTTGTGGGTTGATAAGTACCGCCCAACCAAACTGGATGATCTCAGTTACCATAAAGATCAGGTTCTTACGAGCCCACCTGTTATGTATTACATCATTTTATCACCCTTAGGTTGAAAAGATACGTTGTATGGTTAAAGAGGATAATTTTCCCCATTTGTTGGTTCATGGACCAACTGGCGCAGGTAAAAAAACCAGAATTCGATGTATTTTGAGGTTGTCTTATTTTACTTAACTACGATAACCTCTTTTTTTTTCAGTGAGTTGTATGGAGTTGGAGCTGAAAGATTACGACTTGAAACGAAAGCTTTTCAAACTGTGTCTAAGAAAACCATTGATATCCAAACTCTTAGCAGCAACTATCACATTGAGCTGAGCCCTGGGTTAGCAAACGCATTCTTTGTGTTCATAACTTTCTTTTTCAGTGATGCTGGTATCCATGATAGAGTTGTCATCCAAGAAATCGTAAAGCAAATGGCTCAATCCGCACAGTTGGATACATCGCAGAAGCCATTCAAAGGTAGATCTTTATCTCTGTAAGAGTTACTATGCTCTTTTAGTTTTGGTCTTGATGGACGTTGATAGATTGACTAGGGATGCTCAGCATGCTTTGCGCAGAACAATGGAGAAATATTCAGCGAATTGTCGCTTAATTCTCTGTTGTGAGTCGTTATCAAGAGTAATTGAACCTCTCCAATCGCGTTGCGTTTCAATTAGAGTGGCAGCGCCGTCGGATGAGGAGGTGGGAATAAGAGAAGGCTGAAAGTTTATTTGTTTTTTAGATAAAAAAAATTGCTCTAAAAGTTGCTGAAAGCGAGAAGGTCTCCATTCCTAGTACAGTATTAACAGAGGTAAAAATTATCCAACTTGAACATTGATTCTTCAATTAAAATTAATAGGTCATCCAAAAAGCTCATGGAAATTTACGAAAATGTTTACTGATGATTGAGGCGGCGAAGGCACAAAATTATCCAATTAAAGAGAATCAAACGGTTTGTCTGCAGTATAGTATTATGTGTCATATTATCACCTGTAGGTTCCTATCCCTGAGTGGCAGTTCTTTATCAAGGAAACTGCCGAACTTATGATTCGTACTCAGAAAAACGAAACCGTTTTAGCCGTTCGAGAGCGATTATACGAAATACTCTCGCGTTGTATACCAGCCACCCGTGTTTTCGAGGTAAATCACTCTTTCATTCTTTCATATTTACTTCTTTATTTTTGAGGAACTGATTAAGGCTCTGGTTCCTTTCTGCTCAAACGAAGTTCTCGGAAAAATGGTGATTGAGGCGGCGAGTTGCGAACATAGAATGTGTAAAGGACAGAAAGCCATCTTTCACTTAGAAGCTTTCGTTGTTGCTTTCATGGACATATACGCTACCGAACTACTCTCGAAGAAATCCAAATAACTTTCCGAAACTGTTAAAGATGATATGCAAGACCCGATTCCAGTATGCCTGAAAAATGCCTTCTCATCCATTTTTACGAGTATCTCTTTTGTATGAAATTTTTGCGAGTAGCTACGACTTCCTCACCAATCGTTACCATTTGGGTATTTTCCCAATGTTATCCTTTTTCGGTTGTAATCAATTATAAATACAGATAGTTTTAGATGTTCTTTCTTTGCTTTATGCTGAATACACTGAAACTGTGCGACACAAGCTGTTTTGTGAATCTATCATCCCGTCTTTAATATGGCATGCGAAATTTCTCAATTTGTAGTGGCGATGCAACTTAATATTTTAATTTGAAATTCATGTTTCTTCAAGTTTTTCGGGTCGATTGAACTTCAATGAAATACCGAGATAGTTAGATCGTATCTCTATTCGTAACAATCCTCAAAGTTCCTCAGAATCAGAGAGGTAAAGTTTTGGGAAGCAGAGGATTTGATTGTATTTCAAAACTCTTAAAGTTTATAAAGAGCTGTGTTGTGCTGAGCTTAATGCTCATGTAGAATTCAGCTGCGGAGTTACGTAATAAATTTTTTAAAAAATGAATTCTCTTTCAATAGTATTGTTTCTTACATTAAATTTTGAAAATAACTCAACTCTGGCTACTGCAGCACTTATCCCACTATAGCAGCGCAGTATTTATTCGAACAAACGACTGTTGTGGCTATGAAACTTGAATAAAAGAAAGTACGCGCTGACAGGCTAATAGGGCGGAGTGTCTCGAATGGGAAGAGAGACTAGGTAACATTGTTGAAGATTCGAACAGGATGAATAATCTCAAGGATCTATTTTACCCGGTGGTTGGTCAGTTCATTATCCTCTTATAACTGAATATACTAGCCACTTATAATCTATTGAAGCCAAGTTTGAAAAGCTGTGAAGAAGCTCACCTTACTTACAAATAATTCGCTTTCACTCGAATTCAGTATGAAGTGGAAATGAAAGTGAACACGAAACTTTCATGTTTTGTCTCTTTTGCTTCTTCTACCCCTATTTTTATCGTTTTTATGTTGCTCTTGTCCAGAAAGATGTTTTTATCACAGGTTTCACACGAGACATCCTTTTCTTGTTTTTGGTCTTGTTCTCTTCTTGGGTGATCAGGTCATATGTACGGAAGTGAGTCCCGTTAGTATTTTTTGTGACACTTTTTGTAAGATTGTCCAGGTTGCTTGTTCTATCCCAACGGGAACCTCTGAACAAGTCTGTAAGGATCTTAGATTAATCAAATTATCAATCGTTCTCAATATGCTATATCTTGTCAGCGTTCGAGTCATCTGCTTTTTCGTCACTTACCGTGAGTGATTGTTCGTTAGAAGTTCGCACTCTGATTATGATCCTTTCTTCAATTGCTAGATATCTCCAACAGTTTTTCTATGTCATTTCCATTTGTCTTTGTGTATATTAGAAAAGTCTGAAAGGTTTAGAATTTTTTGAAATAATTCATGGTTCTGGCAATCTCAACAGATTTCATACAATTAATTTTTTTTCCAAATTAGGCGATCATCATGATGAATGTTTGAGCAGATGTGTCATCTTATAACTTCTGACGATCCTTATCGGACATGTTCTCGAAGAAATTCAGATGTTACAAGACGTTTCTTTCTCTTGTTTGAATATGGGTTAAAGTTGACTGTTTCATGATAGGAAGTGTTAAAAGATTATTCATGATTAAGGTCAAAACCAAAAAACCTTTGAGAAACATTCTTGTGGCTGATCGAATGTGTGCCAGATTACATAAGAGATCACATAATTAATTGAATATAGATTTATTAGTTCATCACAGTGTTAACCTAACATTGTGAATCCCGAAAGTTGTGTCAATCGCTTGTAAAACTTTCTGTTGCGCAGCAAACGTCATCTTCTTCTTCATGCTTTTCTCGTGACAGCAGCGACATCTATGGCTGTTTTTTGGTCATGATTAATACTACGAATAGATTTATCTTCAGAAGTTTTCCTTTATCCAAGAGAAAACCGAAAATTCAAGCATTTCACCGTGTCACCAGCGATATCATTCATTCTCGTAAACAAAGCCCTTAACACATGCAAGCTTACCTCAATTTCCTTTTTTTATTCCATTTCAAAAGATTTTATGTTCTTTTTTGTTCCAAATAGCCAACCATTTCAACTCATAGATACTGAGAGATATTAGCTTTCTCTCAGCTATTCCTTATCAATCATCTTCTACCTGGGCTACTGGCCTCAATTAGCTATTTTCTCCCCCCCCCCCCTCGATGGTTGTGGGTGTTTTCTCTTTCGCCAGAATAGTATGACAACGTCTTTGGTTTATTGTGGTTTTTTTTCATCTTCACTAATTTTTTAACTGCAATAACGAATTTTATTTTAAATTTTCATAACTTTCTCTTTCTCCTGATTTTATTCGACAGTGATGTACATGGTTTCCATTATGAACGTCTTGACATTGGATTCGTTAACTCTCTATGTTTGTTTGTCAAGAAAATTTTGAATTAACATGATAATTTTTTATGTTTTTGTCTTGCTAGCTCTTCCTACGTTTATTTCAATCTTTTTGAGAATTTGGTATGTTTTAGTTTTTTTGTCCTAATGTTAATACACCGCAACTTGTGTATTTCATGAATAAAAATCCGATAGAGGGAACTGTGAGGAAAGGTCCACTCTCTTTGAGAAGGAAGAATCTCATTAGTCTGTCAGGAGATTGACATGTCTGCCATGGTATTTTTGTTATGAAAGAAGGCCATGTTTACGTTTCTGTACGTATAGTTCTATTTCTTCGGAAAGCGAAGTCAAAGACATCCACTTAGCACGTTTTATTAGAGTTCCGAAAAAGATTACAGAGCTTTCGTTCATGAAACGTAGTCATGATATAGTTGCTGTGATTTTCCTCCTTCTATAGCACGTTCATATGATTAATGAATAGATATTGAAATGCCCTCTTACAGACGGCTGTTATTTGAAAAGACTTGAATGTAGGTCAGTAGGTATCATTAGAAGAATTTCATTACAGAAAAGAAACATTCTTCTCCGTTTTCAGCTTCTATCCAAATACTCTCACATGTTAAGCCTTTTTCTTTTATTTTTTTTGCTGTCGTATGCCAGTCGGTAATCATAAACATCTGACCATGCATTTCATAGTTCATCTCGTATGGAATGTGGTTTTCCTCTGGTATTTGATAAAGACTTTCAGTTGAATTCACCCTACGGGGGGCATAGATTTCTCGATATATTTGAGAGAAGGAGAGTTCGGTTGATTCTTAATCAACACGAAAATTGAAAGGAATAAATGTATTAATGTGAAGAGAATAAAAGAAAACGATAATGGAAAGATAAAGATATTTTATGAGATAATCATAGAAATGCGAGAAAGGGAGTGGACGCTAAAACTATCACTAGATATCACTTTTTCTCTTCATTGACAATTGATGTAACCTCCTTTTTAGAACAGGGAAAATTTTTTTTCCGTAGTTCTCATCATTTCCGTTTAACTTCGGTTAGCTCCTGAAAAAACTTATTTTTTAAATTATTTACTTTTAACATCTATCTGGAATGTTTTGTATTTTGTTGTGCTTGATAGCTCTTATGTAATATGATGATTTACAGGACAATCTATATGTTATCCCAGATAAATAACTGAAATGAGAAAATTCACAAAGTTATTGTTGCTATTGTTTGCCACATTCAGCTCGAGTTCAGCTAATGGAAGTTAGTTTCTAGTGTTATAAGTATATCATATGTTCTGCTCAGACGGATGCACTTTTCCGGAATCTGAAATACGGCCATTCTTTTTTGAAGTTCTTTCTGATGTTCCTGTAGGGACCGTTGTTGTTGAAACTACAGTAGAACCAAGAAATGCTCAAATATTCCTAGCTTCGGTTAGATCAAACTTGGAGTCCAATGTTAGTCCTTGTTTCAAAGCTCAACAAAAATGTTTGATTTCAGGAGAACTATACTTCCCACCTGACCATTCAGTCAAGCAAACAGGGAAGGTTCAAACTCTTGACGACAGATCTTCTGAGATTGCCAGAGTATCCATCGTCTGACGACGAGGCTTATCTCTACGTCACTGTTGTTTGTAACCAAAAACCTTATCCTCTAATCACAGTCAACGTGAAAGCAGCTAATACAGCTCCTCCTCAGTTCTACGATGAGCCATACTCCATAAATATTCCAAAGGTTTTAGATCAGCAAATGTAGAATTATAGCTTTGCTTTTAAGGACTTGCCCGTTGGAACTGTCGTCAATATACCTGCTGTAGCCATCGACTGGGACCCATCACCGGCTTACAATGTGACTTATACTTTAGAGGTAATCCAATAGGTGGTAATCTCAACTCATGACTCATTTTTTTCAGGAAAATAGAATGTTCTCTTTAGTCCAAACAAAAAAAAAGATATTACCTAAAGACTCGCAAGGTATGGAGGAGTGGACAGATGAACAGAAACCTCCTAGGCTCCAGCTGAAAGTACTCACCCCTCTTGTTCTTCCAACTAACGTCACTTTGATTGCAACGGTAGTTAATAATCGTCCTAACTGCTTCAACAAAAATAAATTTTCAGGACATTGGTGAACCTCAAAAAACTACGTCGGCTTTCATTACAATAACTGAACAGAAAAGCAAAGAAGAAGAAGAAAAAATTGAAAAAAAAGTGGAAGCAGAGGAGAATCACTTCAAAGCTCGAGCTTCCAAAATTCACGTAAGTTCACTTAACTGAACAAAGTGTTGAAATTCTTTTTTAAGAAAGCGGTACCACTTCGTTTACCAACAGTAGAAGATGTCAATGATCAAGATCAACCTGTGACTTTCAGTCAATGTCATGCAGCAGCTATTTTGAAAGAAAATGTGTCCAATGGTACATTTGTGACTAAATTAGAACTTTTGAACAAAAAAGAGGTAGTAATCCACACATTGAAACTGAAGTAGAGAGATCATTCTAGGATACAATTATTGGGCTAGTCGATCCAGAAGGAACGTTCAGCCTGACCCAAGACGGAGAAGTATACGTACAGGATAACAGAATTATCGATAGAGAATTATTCTCAACAATAGAAGTAGTAGCGGAGATCCAGGTGATAATAGCTAAGAAAAGTTTCATATGTATCAATTTATAGAATCCTCCAAAAATGTCAATGTGCAAACGCATTCGTTTGAGAATTGATATTCACGATGAAAATGATAACCGACCAGTTTTTGAAAAAGAAAAGTAAATTTTGAAAGAATAAAATTAAATACATCTTTTTCTTAAGGTACTGGTATCACCTTTCCGATTCAATTGCTGATGGCACAGAATTCGCTACTCTTAAGGCTCGAGACATCGATGAGGTTTGTCTGAACAACGATATTGAGAGCGAAAGCATGGAGAACAACCGATTATCGCGTAACTTTCACTACAAATGAGAAACGGTTTTCGATTTGAGTTACTTCATTCATTGTAACAACTCACACATATGTATCTACAGCAATATCGATACTTGACTTGAATGATAAATAAAATTCTATTCAGGATGAGAATGGGCATGTATCCTATAGACTGATGAACGCTTCAAGCATACCGTTCCGCTTGCATTTGCATGGCCGAGATGCTGTTCTGACAACCAATGGATACATAGGCGATTCCGAAATTTATCATTTGGAAGTTGAAGCTCATGATCATGGAGTTCCATCGAGGTTTGTTCGGTTTTTTTTCTGTGGAGCAACGTAACTGTTTTTAGAACCTCGATAGCGCCGATTGATGTATATGTTATCTCATCCAAACCTAAAACCACTACACCGGCAACTGTTAAGAAAAATACTGAAGAAACTGTGCGAAAAGCAGAGGAGAGAAACACAAACACTATTGAGCCTGTAGAGAAAAAGAAAACTATTTCTCCAACAACCACCGAGCGAATAACTACAGTGAGACAGGAAACCGTCCCTGTAACAACAACACCTAAGCCAACTACAGAAGCTCAAAATGATGAGAAGTTATCATCAACAACAGAGGCTCCTCAGGTATCCGAACTCAACTTCGTCTTAAAGAAAATTTTCTATATTGAAGAAACGGGTTACTGCTCCAAGACAACAGGCTGCACCTCATTTGGTCATAAATGAAATTATCACCCGTGAAGATACCGCTGAGTCCGCTGAATACATTGACGATGATGAGCTCAAAGTATATTTTATTACTGATATTATTGATAGATAGTTCACTTTATAGGCAAGTGAGGGATTCGGTTTCACATCCAAAAACTATTACTATGAAGTGTTTGGTGATCCAACAGAAGATGACGTCATCGGTAGAGTTGTCGCAGAACCAAACCCACAGATGTATGGAATCGATAAGCAGGTAAAATCTGTTGCAATTTTGTTAATAATCTATGGCTGAAAACTCAGGTTAATGGAATTTTCAAAGTTGATGCTGATATTGGTGAAATTTCTGTGGGAAGACGATTGTATAATCAGCCTGCTGGGAACATTTCTTTCTCAGTGTCTTCTACGAACGGAATTCGAACGGTTTGTTTCGATTCTCCATTTCAAAAGAATCAACAAGTAAAGGAGAGTGAATCCATCTACCAAAAATTAAAAGCTGTTGCTAATGATTTTCTATGAGAGTAAGTAGCGGTTTCATATTCACGATGAAACAAGACAACGGAAGCCAGCGGAGCAGATGAATGGTTTAATTGCTAGCCAACAAAGGTAGCTAGCACTGTGGTCCAGAGAGAGAGAGAGAGTAAAGAAAAATAGTAGATGCCCATCAAACCCACCTGTGCCTTTTTCCGTTTTATATTCTACCAAATCAAGCGACTAAAACAGTGTTATACATTCAATGAAAAGCCTAAGGTAGCATCCTTTGTCGAATAAAAAGACAGATGACATGTTTGGAAGAAAAATATATTGATTGAAACAACTCAAAAAGTCTTTTTATGAACATGCTTCAAAAATTGTGCTCAACTGAGAATACTTGTTCTGTCATCATTTAATGAACTGTGCTATGATGCCGTGTTCGGCTATATGACCTTCTATTCAAGGATTTAATAGTAAATAATTGGCAGAAGAAATGATGGTAAGAGTTGGAAGGAAATTCCTTTATTACCAGTCTGCAACCTTTTCTCATCATTCTGACTAATCTATTTTATTCTTAATAGAACACATGTCAGGATGATCGCGTGCTTAAGAGCCATTAGAGCGAAATCGCGATTTCATCGTATACGGATGAAGAAGTGAAACCTATCATTATCTCCTTATTAGTTTGTTCATAATGAAGAGCAGTGGCATTGAGATATCTAAGGGATGCCTCTTCAGGAACTTTATATCCTCACGAAAGTGAGAAAGATTACTACACATATGGTAATCTGCAATATAGCAACACTTGCATTATCTCTCTTTTTTTTCTTATTTTCATTCAGTTACGAAACTTCATATTTTGCTTGTCATTTACTTCATTTCTACTGACTGTCAGTTTACTTCCCAATTATGGCAATCTGCTGATGGATAAGTGTCTGTTGAACTGGAAAAAAAAAACAATTTGTGTTTTGTTCAAGCCAATCAGACTATCCATTTAAGTCCCATTGCTTAGTATGTCCATCAACCAATATTCGTGTATGTGTGTGTATGTGTGTGAAATTCCGGAAAAAAACACATCCGGAAGTTTACTAAGAACATGAGAAGTAAAGCAAGCAAGCTAATAGTGAAAATCTTCACTAATCGTCTTCACTGTGAAGTTATTCGCTAAGTCTTCTGTATTATCGGAGGCGATGAGATTTTTGTCTTCGCTTTTAAGGATGAAAAATTCACTTTCAAATTCTTTTTCTTATTATTGTGCGGATTAACCGAGTAGAGGAATCCGGTAATGACATTCTTAATTCTTTCTTAATTTTCTCTCTTCGAAACGATAGTTTTTTCTATTTTATTCTCTGGCTTTGTTTCACTAATTTACATTTTCTCATAATTTTCTTACCTGTAACTGTTTGCCTGCCGCAATTGCTGTCTATTAAAGGTTTTCCTCCTTCATAGGACACAAGAAGGCGTGGTCAATCCTCGCGGTGGCATTAATAGAGAAACAGACGACACAACGACAGACCATATTTAGCTTTATAGCTTTGCTAACTACACAAATGTCTTAAATGCGATCCCAAATTATCATAATTTTTCTTTTTTTGGTAAGTTGAAATTATAAAAATATATTGAGCGCTCTGTTTCAACTTTATGTGTTTGCTGTCTTTGTTTCACAAACTCTTTTATCTACAATATTCATTTTTCCAATAAGAATCTAATTTCCGTCATAGAGTTGTATACTGCAACTTGCATCACTTCATTGCTTCTCTCACTGTCATAGATCCGTCGACAATAGTCGGTATGACTCTTTTGATTATCAAAAGCTATCTCAGCGCTTTCCATTTGCTGACATCTGTTCTTTATTGTTAAATTATCCAATATAATGGGCTTAGGAGTGAATGAGGTCTTGACCACAGTTATAACCTTTATAAGGTATGGGATGAGGACATGTAGGAGTGCCAGGTGTTTTTGCTTTTCGGGGCATTTTCGTCTCTCTCAGCACACTTACCTTAGAAAAAAATAATGACTGACCGTAAAGGCAACAGACGGGCCTTATTGGCTTCGCATTTTCTCATTTAGTTTTGTAATTCTATCAAACTTGATTGTGCACTCTATTGTACATTGACCGCAACTAGAGTTTACGCAGTGAGGCGGGAATTTGAAATCGGTTCAATCGCCAAGTCGCTTTTTCTGATTTAATAGTTTCATGATAGTCTATGTCCTCATCAGTTCTTGATCATTACAAAACACTTTCTTGTGCATATGACCAGTTAATTATGGGATTATTGCTGGCTCATGCTTTCATATTCATATAATTGAACTGTTAGGTCATCGGGCCAGAATAAGATTGGCTCAATGGCTATCTACAACCAAACAAAGATTTCGCTTTTCATACGAAAGAATCAAGCGGGTGTTTTTAGATATGCTGAATTTTAAACGATTCATCTAAAATAAAATGCATTAGACTATCACTAAAATTCATTGGCTGTTCTACATTAAAATTTTTTTCCAGGCCGAAACTGTGGTAACTATTTTCTATGATCCAAGTCAGAAGAGAAATGGCGGAGTTCCTCGGTTTGATCAAACTCTCTATAAGTTCAGAATACCTGAGAACACGCCTCCTGAAGTTATTGGAATTGTTCGAGTAATTTACTGACAAAATATGCAATAATTAATTAGTACTGTTACAGGCTTATCACATCTCAGCTGGACAACATTCAGATGATGACACCCCCATCATTAAATACGATATCGTTTCTGAAAACGCAGAGCTTCCATTCTCAGTTCATCAGATATCTGGTGAGGTGGCGAATGAACGAGAATTCGATCATGAACAAGCAGCCAATTACGAATTCAGAGTATGATGATATAGCTCACTTTATCAAATAATGTTTTCCAACAGATCAGGGCATGTTTATCCAACAATGAAGACCAATGTGGCTTTGCGAGAGTTTTGGTATCTATCGATGATATCAATGATAACTCGCCTAGATATGAATCATCACTTCAACATGTTACACTCCCTTCCGACCTTCCTGTTGGATCTGAAGTTGTCAGAGTGTCAGCAACAGATTTAGATTCGGGTAGTAACGGACAAATCGCTTATGCCATCACACCACCGAGCAGTATGCAGACTCTCTCGCTTCTTAATAAGCCTTTCATTTCAGCAACATTTGCCATAGACTTTGATACTGGAGTGATTGTAACCATTGCTTCATTAACTAGCTCAAGATACAGCATCCTGGTTGAAGCTTTTGATCATGGAACTCCTCGCAGATCAGATGTAACGGAAGTACGAATTGAGGTTCATGGAACCAACCCCTCTGCTCCTGTTTTTGAGAAGGTAATCTGAACAGTCAGTCATAGCATTTATTCTTATTCTGTAGAAAACATATGAAGCTCAGCTCACGTCTCCCGTTCGAGCAGGATCTGTTGTTGCAAAAGTTAAGGCGTCTGATCCTGATCCAGGACCAGAAGGAAAGGTATACTGTTTTGAAGTTATACAGTATTATACACTTGTTCGCAGATTACATATCGGTTTGCTGCCACAGATGATCCACAAATCAAACAGTTCCTATCCAAGTTTGCAATCAATGAGAATGTACATGAATTTTTCAAAATTTTTCTTATTGCTTACCTTATTCCAGACTGGAGTAGTTTCTGCTATTGAACACATGACAGCTAGAGAAGGACCATTTGATTTTGAGATTGAAGCTTCTGACGATAGTCACACGTTCAATAGAAGAGTATTTATTAGTAATTTATTGAACGCTAATATATCTTTTCAGACAACTTGCATATTACACGTCGAGATCCTTGGTCAATCCTCTATTAGGTTTCTGCCCCTTCCTGTTACTATTTACATCTCTACAGAAAAGGCTATTGGAAGTGTAGTCCTAAGGTAATAATCTCAATCCCCTACTGCACACTCAAATGATTGTTTTAGAGCATCTGCTTTCTCTAACTCAAACTCTCCTATTCAATTTAAAATTTTGGAAGAGAACTCTCCTTTTGTTATGGATGGAGACCTTCTTCGTGTTGCGGCTCATCTCTTCCCTGGTAAAAACAGATTGACAGTGAGAGCTGAAGCTGATGAAGCTCATGTGGATCATCAACTGGTTATAGTAATTATGTCTGACAGAGACAAATATCCAGTTTTTGCTCAACTGACATACGATTTTGATGTAAGCTTCTGACTTTACAAGTGATTTCAAAAACATGTTTCTTTTTAGATCTCGCAAGATGCTCATTTCCCATTAACAATTCATCGGTTTGATGCTGTTCTTCAGAACGGAACAATCAATTATGAGTTCTTCCCAGAGGAGCGTAGCCCACACGGGCTATTACTTGACGAACTAACGGTAACAGATTTATATATGATACCAGACAATGAATTCATGATTAGGGAGAATTGGTAGTTACATCTGACTATACCAAAGAAAACTCCAATCAAGACCCGGTGTTCGTTGTTGTACGCGCTCGGAATTCGAAGTTCACTCAGTTCTACTCAGACGTTGGGGTGAGTTCTAATGAGATTTTTTTATCAACATACTTTTCTCCAGATTTCCTTATCTCTGGTTAGACAAAAGGCTAGTCACAAGTTTTCTCAATCTGTTTATCGTGTTGAGTTGAAAGAAAATAGTCCGATTGGTAGCATAGTTGGTCATCCCCTGGAGGTACGTGATCAAAGCCGGGTATCAGTTCAATTTCGATTCCACTATAGGTTTTCCCGAAAGATGATGATGTCAATTTCTCTTTTGTTCCTTCATCTTGGTTTGGAATCTTCAAAAACGGTTCAATTTTTGTGGCACAAGACGTAGATCTCGAGACTATGCCTGTCGATCAAAATGGCTTAATTACTTTTGTCGTTGCTGCGGATACACCTACTGGACGAACTACATCCAAGGTTCAGTTCCACATTGCGGATGAGAACGAGTTTTCACCCACTATGGAAGCGGAACTACATGGACATGTTAGTGAGGACGCCACGCCTGGGTCGACAATCATGAAGATTAAGGCTGTTGATCGAGATTTCACAGAGGGATCTCATCTGCTTTATAAGATTGTTGGAGGTAGAAGCTAAGCTGTCTCCTCTCATTAAATTTATTTTTTTTAGGAACAGGAAAAAATTTAGTTTTCATCCAGGAAGATGGAACTCTTATTCTTGGTGAAACGCCTCTAGATAGAGAAGAGCTTACGTATTTCGATGTAAATGTTGAGGCTATTGACAAGGGTGGCAACAAGGTATTAATGAAGTCATCTCACCAATGAAAGGAATATTCTTTAAGGCATCCACCACAGTTATAATAGAAGTTGATGATGTGAATGACAATGCTCCTGCTATTCCAAATCAACCTCTTGTTTGGAACGTGACCGAAGGAGTACTTTCATCATCATTTGCTATAGAAGCGTTAGATAAGGATATTGGCAAGAACGGGCTCGTTAGGTTCCGTATACTTCAAGGAAACGCTGATGGATTTTTCCGTATAACTGATGACGCTCCTAACAAGGTGAGGGATAAGTTATCACTAATATTAAACTGTTTTCATTTGAGGCTTCAATCCATCTTCTTCGTCCTCTAGACTTTGAAGATTTTCCATCTCATCAACTTACAGTAGAAGCTAGAGACGGCGGGGCACCGTCGCAGTTTGCGATTTTCCCCGTCACCGTTAACGTACTAAATATTAACGATAATGCGCCTACATTCAAACATAAAAGTTACACCCAGAAGGTATAAAGATGGCATTTGAGGGTTTTTTTCATAATTCATTAACTAGGTTCCAATCGATCTGCCTATAGGATTTCCAGTAATAACTGTTCTTGCGGAAGACGTTGATGGTGATCGCATCGACTATACCGTAAGAGGAATCGGCTGTGATGTTTTCAAAATGGATCCGACTGGCGTGATCAGCTTCCACATTCCTATTAATAAACGCCGAACGGGTTCTCTAAAATGTACAGTTGAAGCGTCGGATGGTCAACATGTTTCATCTGTTGAAACGGAGCTTGAAGTTTACACCACAGCTCAACCTACTGTGTAAGTTGCTTGATTCTCTCAGTCGTTTACAAGTGTATCAACTTTATCTTCTGTTTTTCAGCCCTACCAATCGTAATCATGCTCCTGTGTTTTCTCAGCAAACTTATGATTTCTCACTACACCCTGAGGACAAAATTGGCAAAACGATAGGAAGTGTTAGTGTACAAGATCCAGATGGTGATGCCGTTTTGTTTTCAATAAAGCCTGCAGAGTACCGCAATCTTTTTGATATTAATGACAACGTAAGTTTTTTCCTAATAATTTGATTGTGCTCACATGTACTTCTAATTGAAGGGCGAAGTTCTTCTCAAAGTAGATCCATCTGAGTTGAGTCAGAAGCAGTACAGCTTCTTGGTTCGGGCAGAAGATTGGGGACCACCGATTATGACTGCTGTCGCAAATATCCATGTTCATCTTGTTGGGTTTGAAGAACGTGTTGTGGAAGGTGGCAGAACAACTCCTCAACCTGCTCCAATACGTCCTTCCCAAGAAGTATCTGCTAGTCCCACTGTGCGACAGCACGAAGAACTTCAAACGTCTGAAAATATCATACCGACATCGGCTAAAGTAACTGAGCCAACCACAACCAGAACAACTCAAAAACCAACTACGTCATCTCCTCCTGGTAAGAACAGATATAGTTTTCAATCAATTCATGATGTTTTTCCAGTAGTCAAGTTTACTCGATCGGCTTACATTTTCTCCCTTCGTAGCGATGCCCCTGTCGGAACATATCTTGGCTCAGCACGCTTAACATGGAATAAGGATATCAAACTTTCTCTCCAGAGTGGAAAATATCTTTCTGTTGACTCTGAAGGCCAAATAAGAACTGATGCTTCTTTCAGTGATCAAAAAATTCAAAAAGTCGATGATATCATTATAGCGACTCATCAGGTAAAATTATGATCAACATGACGTTCATGGCAATACTTTACAGGGCGTAAGAGTAGCTGAAGCAATTGTGAGTCTTCATCTGATTCTTACTGCAACTCCAATCCCCATTGGTGTCGTTGATTCGTCTACTGAAAATTTAATAAAACAGTCCGGTGTTTCTGTAACAGCGAGAAAACCCGTGTCTCATAATCAAGATGTGGACACTGATGATGCTGATTCAGCTGACTTCCATTTCTCGAAAAAAGTTTATCAAGCGTTTGTAACGGAAGGAAAATACTCAAATGGAATCAAGCTAGCCTTGAAACCTGAAAACTTATCTACCAACTTTGCTGGACGAGTGACCTATTCCATTGTTGAAAAAGAAGTACGACACAATTACTTTGATCAGATTCAAAATTCTCTGATTTCAGGCATTGCCGTTCTTTTTAACGACGGAAGGTAATCTCATGGTGTTTGATGTTGACAGAGAGAAAAAGGATAGTTATATTCTAAACATCATGGTATTATATTTTCATAGTTATATATGTAATCATCACGATTAGGCAAAAACGTCTGGTAATCCAGTTAGGAAAGCTATGGCTCAAATAAACGTAGTTGTATTGGATGTTAATGATAACTACCCCGAATTTGATAATCATCCTGAAAGCATAGGTATTCTTCGGGATACAGCTGTTGGAAGTACGGTGTACAAATTCCATGTGAGTTTCAAGTAAAGAATAGCATCTGAGTTTTTATTTTCCAGGCTGTTGATCAAGACGATGGAGACAGCGGTTCCGTTCAATTTGGATGTGACGGAGATGAGGATTATTTCAACATAGATGCCTTAGGTATAAATCTCTTCGTTTGAAGTAATTGAACACATAACTTCAGATGGAACGCTCATTGTTGGAAAGCCATTAACTGATGCTCCTAGTCTTCTATGGATAACTGTAGTAGCTAGAGATCAAGGAAGACCTGCATTGAGAACGCATCACAAGGTTAAAAAAACTAAATTATAATTACTGAACAGTAAATCCAGGTCTCAATCAAACTGTTCGATCCGCATTCGCCTGCACCAGTTTTACCGAAAAATGTTGAAACCCTCAGAGTGGCAGAAACTGCTGGAAATGGAACCCTTCTCACAACTTTGTTAGCAGGACCAAGTATATCTAGACGAGGATATGAGCCTGTTGTATACGGTTTAGAAAAGACCCATAATGGCCTATTCGAGGTGAGACCGGCAAATTATTTTGATAGCTTATCCAAGTGTTTAGATGCTTTCTGGAGGAAGATTAATACTTTCTCGTAAACCATTGGATGAAGAACTAGGATCCGAATATCGCCTAAATGTCACTGCTAAGAACTCGCTAGGAACCGATAGTACGATAGTAGTCGTTCTGATTGAAGGAGAAAACGCATCAACATCTGCATCAACATCGACCTCCGTTAAACATACTACAGTCAAACAGAGCGAATGTGCTTTTGATCAACTTATCTACGAAGCGGAAATTCCTGAGAACTACCGTGATCGCCACAGAATAACAACAGTTAAATCTTCTAACTGCCCTGGTGTCATTTATGAATTGACAGACTCTTCTGGTTTTACCAACTCAATAGGCTTCATCTTAAACATCCTATTTCAGATACTTTCGAAATTGATCCAACCTCTGGTGATGTTTTCTCTGTTCGTCCGCTTGACAGAGAGAGACAATCTGTCATCTTGTTGAACGTGAATCTTTTGGAAGTTAACCGTAGAAAGAGGCAAACTGCTGAGGTTGAAGGTATGTTATTTAAGTTTTTCTTTCACGGGAATGTATTTTTCTTAGATGCCAAATCTCGACTGACTGCTGGACAAGCTTTAATTGTGCTGAAAGTTTTAGATCAGAATGACAATGCTCCCGTTTTCGTACATCTTAACGACGATCGTTTCGTCGCAACTGTACATTGGCAATACAAAGTGAAATCTGCAGTGTTCAGAGTACAAGCTAAAGACCTGGACGATCAACCTGATTTATCATACAAGATTTCGGGAGCCGCATCTGACGTGTTCTCCATTGATGAGAAAACCGGACTAGTCACTCTCTCTAAAAGTGTCGAAAATGATCCTAGAACAAGTTTCGAGTTACAAGTAACTGTCTCGGATGGTGTGTTTGAGACAAAAGCTCCGCTGATGATTTTCAAGCTGTCCCCTTCTTCAAACGTCATAAGACTCACTAGTGAGATGCCATACCATAAATTGAAGGAGTATCAAATTGAGAAAACGTTAAATCAACTAACAGACAGCGACAGCCGTGTTTTGGCAAAACAAATGTTTGTAGATGAGAAAGGACATCCAAATGAACAAAAGTATGTTGAGATAAAAAAGTTCATCTGTTCATTAATTTCTTATAGGTCGCATATTTTGGTTTATTCCGTTAATCGTCAAACTAAGGAGCCGTACCGCCGTGAATTACTTTTAGAGTTGGTGTATTTTTTATTTTCTTATCAGTTAACCTTCCATTCAGCATGCTTGTACCACATGCCTCCTCACTTATGTCATCACCAGCAAAAATATCAGAAGTCTCGCTAGTGGCGAATGGTGAACCCATTCTTTCGGCCGTTGATATCATTCTTCTACTCCTTGCCCTGGTAGCTGTTGTTCTTATTCTTTTGACTTGCTGTTGGCTGGCAACTATCTGTAAGAGGTATAATGCTTCGTATTGAGAGAAACATTTCAATCAATCACCGCATTTCAGAAAACGTTATGCAAGTTCATCCAAAATTGAGCATGAATATATGGTTGATAGTGTTGGGGCCGGCCCCAGACCATATGATGTTGAACAAATCAGCCGTCATACTGCCCAAACAGTTTTATCCAACAGAGCATTGCCAGATCCACTTCAAGGAAAGCCAAGCTTTAATGATGGAACAATTTGCACTAATCGAAGTGACAGTACAAAAGAGTTCGCAAATAGCGTAAGAGAGAGACCCTCTTTGCTGCAAAGTGCTTTAGCAAGACATAAGGTGGTGTAAACAATAATAGATATATTGAGTTTTGTTTGTTGCAGGTTCACGATGGTGGCCTTGCTGTTTCTGTTGATTATATTGATGGATCAGAAGTTTCCAAGAAGTAATATCAGAAAACATTCAGAGCCTAAAAAATTTTTAAACTAATTTGAAATCCTACTATGATCGGGTATCACTTGGTGATAATATATGCATGTGACATGTAATCTTGAATCTCTTTTCTTTGACATGGCTTCAAAACCGTTAAAACATCCATGTTATTTAAATTTTGATGTAAACATAACTTTTATTTTTGACATTTGCTGAGAAGATATGCTCTTATATATGATCCGGTGCTTCATAATTTTACTGACTTAATTTTTGACATTTCATAATGAAGGATTCGATAATTATATTCGTAAGCTTTACTATATACCATGAACATCTTCCTTTTTTAAGCTTAGCAATTGCTGACAAAGGTCAGAACTCGGAAAAAATAGAACTAGGGATTATAACATTTGTAGTACTATGACGACGAACATCATATTTAACAGGGCACTTCCGGGCAGAAATCCTAAACATCAGTAGCTTCTACCGGTAAAGTGGTAGTTACTAGATGGAAAACTGACCGGATGTTCAGATGACTGTGTTGCAGCAACTTTACACTACTTCCATTTTTCCATAAATCCATGGTTATCAAATTCTTTTGAATAAAGAAATTGTCAGCCCGGTTAGCTCAGTCGGTAGAGCACCAGACTCTTAATCTGGCTGTCGCGGGTTCGAGCCCCGCATCGGGCTAGGAAATTTTTTCCTAATCGCGTGACATTATATTTTTAGCT